GAACAAGGTATTTTACTATAAAGATGGATTCTTTTTAGAATGACCCAAACATTGCCATTTGCCTTAACTTTTGTTCTGAATAACAATGAGATGGCCTCTTAATACAAGTCTTTGACTTCGTGAGGTCTTCTCGCCACTCCCTATCCTTTCAATTTAACATACATAAATATAAATATAAATATAATTAAATTTTATTACAATAATCAATATAAATTAACTGAATGAAGTGGTAAATAAATTGAATTAAAATATATATATATATATATATATATATATATATATATATATATATATATATATATATATATATATATATATATATATATATATATATATATATATATATATATATATATATATATATTGATGTCCCACATTCGTCAGACATCAAAGGTAACTGTAAATAGCAGTTACTTTCATCCTGCTCATCAGCACTACACTGATGAGGCCCAGAAGGCCGAAACTGTACCGTCTGTAGTTAGATATCGCTCTATGGCCTTTAGGTCATATTGAGCGCTCTACAGGATGAGCCATTGCCGCTTATGCATTGCGCACGGTCACTGCTTGCAGTTTGAGCGCTCTGGCATGGTTTTGATGTCCCACATTCGTGAGGCATCAAAGGTAACTGTAAATAGCAGTTACTTTCATCCTGCTCATCAGCACTATACTGATGAAGCCCATAAGGCTGAAACAGTACCGTCTGTATATATATATATATATATATATATATATATATATATATATATATATATATATATATATATATATATATATATATATATATATATATATATATATATATATATATATATATATATATATATATATATATATATATATATATATATATATATATATATATATATATATATATATATATATATATATATACAGTATATGCCAAAAATCATATTCTGGGTTAGTGACACTTTTGTAAATTTTGTGTTCTCTTCGTTCCAGTTCGAAATCGCTGTGCATTAAAATTATGCAAGAATGGTGTGTGTATTGACGATTTCAGTGATTATCACGTGGATCTGCCTCTCAATGGTTATCTGTGCATTTGCAAGGACGGATTTCAAGGAGAAAACTGCGACCGTAAGTTGAAAGATTTTGATGGCAAAAATTTAAGCCATATTTCAAATTCGATGTGCTGTTTAGACGTACGAGTAAAGCCATATCTTCCTTACGTACTAGGTAAAGTGTGTGACAACTGCCACAAGGATGCTGTGTGTTTGTACGGGCAATGTATCTGTAAAAATGGTTTCGTAGGAAATGGTAAAACGTGTAAAAGTAAGTATGCTTTACATATAACAATATTCTTTTATCTAAATTGACAGCTTATGGAATAAAGGGTACAGCACACAAATGGTTTCAGTCATATTTAAGGAAGAGGGCAGCAAATATGTAAAGTTAACAAAAAAATGTCGGATATAAGAACAATTACCTGCGGAGTTCCTCAAGGGACAAATCTAGGCCCGTTGCTATTTATCCTTTATATAAATGATCTGCCAAATTGCCTTGTAACAACAAGCGCCACAATGTTTGCGGATGATACAAGCCTATCATGTAACGGACTATCATCCGCAGATATAGAGAGTAAACTGAATCACGATTTAGAAATAATTCACACATGGTTAACCGCAAACAAGCTGACTTTAAACCGTAAAAAAACTGAATACATGATTATTGGCTCACGACAAAAATTAAATTCTATTGGCACAAATACTACAAACATATCAATCGCAGGCGAGCAAATAAGATGACTTGAAAGCACAAAATCCTTAGGCATAATTATAGATGAACAATTAAAATGGGAAGAACATAACAGTAAACAATGTAAAACAATCTCAGCACGTATCGGAATGTTAAGAAGAGCTAGAGATTTTGTTACACAAGATGTTTTAATTACAATGTATAATTCACTTGTATTTCCTCACTTTACCTACTGCTCAACTGTGTGACATGGCTTTCTCGCTGATCACATTAATAAATTATATAAGTTACAGAAAAGGGCTGCTCGTGTAATAAAGGATCCAGTTACGACATACGATCAACTAACATTTTTGAAACCTTAAACTGGAGACCTATAAAAGACAACTTAGACGAGCGCGACCTTGTAATGATATTTAAGGCCCTTAAAGGTCTAGTGCCCGACTACCTAATGCAGACAATTACCTTGAACGAAAACGGCAACTATCAATTACGTAGCAACAATAGAAATATTTACCTACCTAAGCCAAAGACAAATTTTCTAAAAAATAGCTTTCCCTATCGAGGAGCTATGAGTTGGAATAACCTACCTAATCATATTACCTTTAAGAATGTCATAAAACGTATGTCCTAATCCATTGGTCCTAATCTATAGTGTAATTAATTGCATCCATGTAAATAGTTTATGTAAGTGGCCTGTTTTTCTCGCTTTTAGATTTCCTTTTTTTTAATTTTTTTTTCTCTCCAATTATGTAAATATTTTAATGAACTCACGGCCCTTTGAAAAACAGATGTACTTCTGAAAGGCTACCGTAATTAAATAAGATTAAATAATAATAACAGAGATATGACATGGAGATGTAATTTAGTAACTAGGTGACAATATGTCCCATGGAATTTTTAATATTTGTGCAAGGAAAAAAAGAAGGTATAAAAAGGGAAAAGACATGATAAATGAAAAACGAAGGAAGGTGAAGAAAGGAAAACAAATAGAGCAAACGCACAAAGGGAACGACTATAGGGTTCCATTTCTGCTGTATGCTGTTGTCTGATTATATTCCTCTTTGGTCACATTTGAGAAAAGTGCTTCTCGACCCCATCCCCTCCCATTCAATGTTGTTTTGACAAAATCTTGTGGAAAATGTTGCTTGACAACGACCCAACATCGTTTAGGGTGAGGGAAGGAGAGATGCAGAACAGTATTTTTAAATGTGCAGTTATCTCATAGTATATCACTGTCCAAAAGCTTTTTGTCACTGATTTTAGTTTAGACTTTAGTGTAACATAATCATGTGTCTTCACATTTTTCGATAGAAACGTCAGATATCTGTTCCCCGAATCCATGCAAGAACTCAGGAAAATGTGTCCACGCTCCAAAAGACTCGTACGACTGTGTTTGTGTCAAGGGATTCACTGGTCCTCTTTGTGAAAGTGAGTTGCTTGGAACTAAAAGAAAATATATGACTAAACGCTTTTTTCATCTCTCTAAAGTTTAGTTTAAGGGATATTTTACATTTTAACACATGGCTGAAATAAATATCTTCATAATATTCTTAGCCGTGACATTGTGTGATCCAAATCCGTGTAAAAATGGGGCCACTTGTGTTACATCAGGCGGAACCTACAGATGTATGTGCCCACAGGGAAGATCTGGACCCAACTGTGATGAAGGTAGGGATAGCAATTTTTAAGGTAGGAATATCAATTTTAGAGGTATGGGAATTTAAATATTTAAGCCCGGAAAAATATTCCTCCTCCACCCCAGATTAAGTCAAGGAACCAAAATTTGTGTCACATAAGTAGAAAATAGATGAAAGTATGTTTTATTTCGTTTTTTATCTAGTCAAGAAGCAGAAATGTACGCCGACATTTTGTCAGTATGGCGGGGTATGCAAAGAACCCGAGGATCCAACAAAACCGCCATTTTGTCTGTGCAAAACGTCCAAATTCGTTCCGCCAAATTGTGGTAGGTATATTTCTAAAATTTCAAATCGTCCTACGGAAATTAAGAGAAATTTATTCACCTCGAGGACAGAATTTCCAAAAAAGTTTCAGTTAATTGGGGCTCAAATATGGAATCAATACCGGAAGAGATAAGAAGTTCGGTATCTCATGATTCGTTTTGCAAAAAGCTTTCTTCCTTGACTTTTCTAGGTTAAATATATTGTTTAGTTAATATATAAACTATTATATGTTGGAAATAATTTAGCACACCTCTTTTGGAAATCAGCTGTATGTTGGAAAGATTAGTGTGAGATTAGTACAAGTATTTTTCTTGTATTTTATGCCACAGCTTGTTCTTGCGCAGCGGCAAACAAGAATGTTGATCCGTCAGCGGTAAACCCAGTTTGTGACGCGGATGGAGATTGCATTTGTCAAGATGCTTCAAAGACTTACGTTCCTGGTAGTGGATGTATTGTAGGAAGTGAGTGACAATCTTATTTTGTTATTGGACAAATAGGAAACGTTTTGGCGCTCTCAGCTCTACTATGTGTGTTGAAAATTTTAATTTTGCCTCAGTCGCATGGAAGAAATGTGGTACAACAGACCTTTTTAAAAAGTCTGCCTTGTGACGTAGTTTGCGGATAAATACGATCATTTGTTCAATCAGGCAAGCCAAATGGCTGTTTGGGGTTTTCCTTTATCCGCAAACTACGTCACGTCCATCAAATACCGCTGGCTTTGACAATGACGACAACAACAACACTGACAACAACAACGACGATGGCAACAACAACAATGACAACAACAACAACAACAACAACAACGACAACGACAACGACAACGACAACGACAACGACAACGACAACGACAACGACAACAACAACGACGGAGACAACAATGACAACAACAACCATGACGGCAACAACAGTGACAATAAAAACAATGACAATAACAACGACGACGACGGCGACAACAATGACAACAACAACAATGATGGAACCACAACAACAACAACGACGGCGACAACGACTAGGACAACGATGACAACAACAACAACGACGATGACGGGAAAAACAACAATAATGACAACAACGACGGCGACAATGACAACAACAATAACAACAACGACGACGATGGAGACCACTGCAACAATAATAAAGTAACAACAAGGACAACAATAACAACAACGACGGCGATGGAGACCACTGCAACAATAATAAAGTAACAACAAGGACAACAATAACAACAACGACGACGATGGAGACCACTGCAACAATAATAAAGTAACAACAATAACAACAACGACGACGATGGAGACCACTGCAACAATAATAAAGTAACAACAAGGACAACAATAGAGAGTTTACGATTCACGACGCGGCCAGCTCGACGACGCGCTTGCAAGACAAAGAAACACGTCATGCGAGACAAAAGGGATGAATAATTTGTAAATTCAAATGTTTTGTCAACAGCGTTGCCATTCTTGGGACACCGTCAAACGAGTAATTTTCACGGCTTCCTAGCGATATGAAAGCTCGTTGCGACATGGGAGCTGTTTTATAACGTTGACAGAATGACAACATTAGCTAAAGATCGGAGTAGTTTAGTCAAATTTAAACATTTGTAAGATTATTAAAATATGCTTTAGACAATTAAAACAGTATAGTTAAATTCCTGTGGATTATTTCAAGCATAATTTGACTCGACGTCGTCGAGCTGACCGCGTCGTACATCGTAAACTCCCTGATAACAACAACGACGACGATGGAGACCACTGCAACAATAATAAAGTAACAACAAGGACAACAACAACAACAACGACGATGACGGGAAAAACAACAATAATGACAACAACGACGGCGACAATGACAACAACAATAACAACAACGACGACGATGGAGACCACTGCAACAATAATAAAGTAACAACAAGGACAACAACAACAACAACGACGATGACGGGAAAAACAACAATAATGACAACAACGACGGCGACAATGACAACAACAATAACAACAACGACGACGGCGATGGAGACCACTGCAACAATAATAAAGTAACAACAAGGACAACAATAACAACAACGAACTAAAGGTTTATTATATACAATGTTTCTTTTTCTAGAGACGGATCCTTGTTTGGTCTTCCTCTGTCAAAATGGTGGCACGAAAGAAAGGTCTGGGTCTACCTGTATCTGCCGATGTCCCACGGGTTATACCGGACCCAGATGTGAGACAAGTATGAAATATGTTACAATTAACTTTGTTAGGCCTTTGTTCCCAACACTATTTCCTGGTTTCTACACCTCCAGGAAACTTGGCTAGGAAACAATATTTCTGTAATAATCTAGCCTATTGTTTCACTTTCCTCAGACCTTAACTGAATTTTTAAAATTACGTAGAAACTGGTCGTCAGTGTGTTCCTAATCCCTGCAAAAACAGGGGGACCTGCGAAGAAAGTTTGGGAAGAATCAAATGTAATTGTTTGCAAGGATTTAGACAGCCATTTTGTGAGAAAGAAATCGCCCCAAGTATGTTGCGTCAGTTTGTGTTAGAGCTACCTTCTTTCCTTAAATTTTATGCTGTTTATCAAATAAAGCTTTTATACAGTATTTTAACGAAGGAACATTCGATCAAAATATCAATTTTTATCATATATAAGCTAGTAAAAATCTACCATAAAAAGACCAAACCGTTTGAAGTTTAAGCCACTAAGGGCGCTTTCCATTAACACGGCCAGACCAGTCAGAACGGTCAAATTGTTGAATGGAACACAAAACATTTGGGCTTTGGACTTGTCTGACCGGAAAATTTAGATAACATTAGAATGAGGTCCATTTTTGCAAGATATTTGAGAAACATAGACCAGATCTTTCCATTGATACAGAGAAAATAATTCGGGTCCGACCGGTACAGGCCATTAAATGGAAAGCGCCCTAAAAATCTATTACAAAATCTGTGTATGTGAAGACTGTTTCGTATGTTAATTGCCTTAAATATTTAACGTTTAGGACAGTGAGAATCTCCCACGAGGAAGCTTTGTTCAGTAATACTTCTTAGGATATTGGTGGTGATACTTACTGCTTGTTTTTCAATTTCAGATTTCGGACCGTGTCTTCAGAATCCATGTAAAAATGGCGGGAAATGCCTACCACTGAAGCAAGGTTATGACTGTCAATGTTCTCCACAGTTTACTGGCCCTCATTGTGAGGGTAAGTAGGATCTATTTAAACTATAAACCTCGGACTATCAGTTCTAAACTGTTCTTTCTAATAATGATTACTACGGGAGGAAACCCAAACTAACTTTATTTATACTGGATATAGCTCTATTAGTTCTAAACTTTTCTTTCTAGGAATGATTGCTACAGGAAGAAACCTAAACTAACTCTATTTATACTGGATAGTTCCAGTATGAAACATCTCTTATTTAATAACCAGGCTAACGACAGGAGGAAATCTAAACAATTTTATTTTTGCTGGATAGCTCTATTAGTTGTAAACTGTTCTTCCTAGAGGTCCAGTAAGGATCATCTCTTATTGATCCAGTGTTACTACAAGAGGAAACCTAAACTAAACTAACTTTATTTATACTGGATATTAGCTCTATCAGTTCTAAACAGTTCTTCCTAGAGGTCCAGTAAGGATCATCTCTGATTGATCCATGCAGTGCTACTACAGGAGGAAACCTAAACTAAACTAACTTTATTTATACTGGATAGCTGGATCAGGTCCAAACTGTTTTCCATAGAGGCGAGAGCCATTATTGCGACAGGAGGGAATCTAAACTAAATTAAACTAAAATAAATTGGTTTATGCTGGGAATCTTTATCAGTTTTAACTGTTCTTTCTAGAAGTCTATACTCTATAGATAGATACTGGATAAGGAGAGATCCAGTAAAAGCCCATTTCCACTCAAGAATAATTTCCACGGAGAAAATTTTCCGAAAATATCATTATATTTTCAACTTTCTTTTCAAAATATTTTCAACAAAATTTTCTTTCCGCGTAAAATTTTTCTGAGTGGGAATGGGTCTTAAGGGACATTCTTTATTGTTTCATTGTTACTACAGGCGGTAGAAAAAACCTGCAATTTTTGGTAGAGTCAAACTGGAAGTACTCGTTTCACATGTGACTGAGATGAAATTGTAATCAGCCAACTGCATATTGCTGGAATCAAACCTCTCAGTGGGGAACGATCGACGCATGGCCAAGCCATTGCGCAACCAACATTTCATTCATACGGCTTCATTTTAATTTTAATTCTCATATGTTTTAGTGGATAAATGTCTTAAATGCCACACAGATGCGAACTGCATTCAGGGTGTATGTGCGTGCAAAGAGAACTTCGTAGGAAATGGTTACAATTGTATTGTCGAGCTTGAAAAGTCAGGTACGGTAATGTATACTTCAAGCTAAAAATAATATTCCCTTTTATAGCTTGTGAACAGGATTTCTTTGTATGACATTTTAGTCATTCCTATTGCAGTAACTAAAACGAAATGGCACTTTAACTGTGGTATAGATAAGGGTGTAGTAACTATAAGGGGTACTAGCTTGCTAGTAGCTGCGTCTGAGATCCTGGGTTCGATTCTGGCTTCGAACACATGACAATTATATGAAAAGAGTCAACGCTCTACCGAACGTCGTGGGTATTCTCCGGGTACTCCGGTTCCCTCCGACAGGGAATGTTGACAGGATGGGTTGGGATTAGTCCCTGACTGACCCTTCCATTGTAGCTGTACTCCGTGATCAGACATGAGTCATAAGGTGGCTGCCAGAGGCGCTCTTAGAAAGCTCTTGATCAGGCTGAGCTTAGCTAATAATTCAGCTTAGTTCTCAGCTGTAAGTAAGGATGATTAGCCCACACACTTTACACCCTAAGCACTGATGTGGAGTAATTTGAACCACTACGATTGCATACTTTGGGTTCTTGCGATTTTGCTTTGGATTTAGCTTTGGATAGCTTGTACCTTTCTGATGCCCTTGATATTAATGTATATACATATGTTCCTTGTGTTTTCAGATTCCTCATGTTTTAAATGTCCTTCTAATACTGTATGCAACTCTGGAGTTTGTCAATGTCGCCGTGGTTATATCATGAATAAAAGAAATTGTATTCGTAAGTCTACCATTATCCACTGAGCAGTCCCATATACATATCAGTTAGAAATAATTGGAATTAGCTGGGGGGAAATGGGCCATTTAATATGTATACCCTCTTCCCCTATTGAAGGGTCTGGATATCCAATGGAGGAGGAGGGGGTCTTCATTTTAAATTTTCCTCGAGGGTAGCTTGAGAGATTTTTAAAACATGGCAAAAATTAGATATTTTAGTGATATCCCAAAGGGGAAAGGCGATATCCTAAAGGGGTTAGTAAGATATCCTCTGGGGTAACTTCTACAAATTGTATCCAAGAGGGTTCCAATTTTTTTATATCCTAAGGAGATTATCAAGGCACCCCTCAATAGGGGGGTGCCCATATTAAATGGAATGGCCCAATGGTATTAAAGCTTAAAGCCCTTTGGTATTAAAGCTGTTTACAACCTTTATTGTGATTGGACCTCAATTTCCGAATGAACGAAGTTCTTGCTCCAACTGAAATATATCGAGTTCACTAAGTCAATTGCAAGCTATAATATATACACTTGATCGGCTAACGAACGTTCATTTATGTCCATTGTTTGGCATGCCACCCTAGCTCTTAATGAACTTGTCCATGAAATTTTGTTTCTTGTTAATTTTAGCAATGGAAGCTTTAACAACTGGCTAAACTACATGGTTTAACTCAAGATTAAAGTAACCATTAAATACATAATGATATTAATCGCAAACAAGCAAAGAGTTAATGTAACAGCGTATTATAAGTTATATACCTTGCTGGACTGGCTGCATTTACTGTATATTAAAATACCTGAATTAATTGGGTGCGAATAATCTAGTGTAATTTGTTCGGTAGGGATTTTTAACATAAATCTTACTGTGGCTTAATTATACTGTAAAATAAGTTTTAAAATGCTGAGTTATACTTATAAAGACATTTTTGAAGCAATTAAGTAAAATGTCAATTAATTTGTATCAATTAAATTTAATACAATGAAATTAATTTTAAACTAAGATAAATATTAAAACAAAAGATAAAAGAAATGCTTTAACCATGTAAGTTTAATTTTTAAAACTAAAGTATCTAATTACTGAAAAATTACTCAAAATGTAATTAATAATTAGTAACTCGTTACTTCAGTAACGAGTATTTCAATACAACACTGATAAAATATATGAAATGGAAAGCAGACTTTATTTAATAACATGATCTTTGTTTATTTTCAAATGCTATTCTACTTTTGCTGGTGGTTGATTGTATCTTAATCTTCGTTCCTATTAATTTTTAATTGTGCTCCAAAATTATAGCTCATTTCAAATAAAACAGAACTGAACAATGTTGCTCAATTATCCTATCTTAGAATCAATTTTGGTCCATATCTTACTGGTTTTGCATCAAACAGACGGAAATATTGTGAATCACAAATCGAGGAGTAGACACCATTCAAAAGCTGTTCGAAAAGGATCGAAAATACACGAACTAAGTTTGAATAAACTACACGGATCAAAGATCAATATAACAGAATCGGGAGACCGAAGACAATTTCTCACAAGCAACAATGTGCCTCTACAATCGCAAGACGCTACCCAACAAACTGTATCTTCGCTGAGCACATCCCAAGACCAGGAAATAACATCTAATTCGCTGACGCCAGCTTCTTCGCTCACTCCAGCTACATCATTGAGCCCTCCGGCTATTGTTACCGATACTAAACCGTTACCAAATCGACAAATTATAGACCCAACGGGAACACAGCCAGGGATAGCACTGAATCGACTTTCGAATGATACTAACCCAGTTATAGAAGGCGGGTTGTCCGCCGCAAATCTTCCAATGTTAAACAATAGCTTTCTACCAAATGGTATTGAACTGGAAAAGCCATTGCCTGTGCCGTACAAGAAGCCTGAAATACGTTTGGTACCAAAGTTGGTAACGTTACCTTACTCGAAGAAACCTGACGTGCATGTATCACATGTTCACTACGAACAAGGGGGTAGGTTTCCAGGCGAAGCAACTTTTTCCTTTGTCGGCTTCACTTATTGCGTCAACAAAATCGATGCCGACAAAAGGAAAAGTCACTTCGCGCGAACAAATACGCCTATAGTGGACTTTACACACTTTTCTACTATCGCGGTGTATGACAGTGAATGTTCGATCTATAATCGGGGTCTTTCGTAAGACCGACCTTTGATCATGCTTGCCCGGTATGGCACACGTCGCTTTCAAATTACCTAACGGATGATATTTGCTGTTTTGGTGTAATGTACTCAGGTGAATAAGATGCTTGTGATGTTACTCTGAGTGTATATCCACACCGGGCAGGCTTGAAAAATATGCCTGGCCACGGTGGGAATCGAACCTACGACCTTTGGCAGAGCATTGGGTTAGTATTCCAAAGGTCGTAGGTTCGATTCCCACCGTGGCCAGGCATATTTTTCAAGCCTGCCCGGTGTGGATATACACTCAGAGTAACCTAACGGATGTCATCGATCGAAACTGTCCATAAAAGAGCTCTTGCAATTATTTCCACTAACCAAAAGTGGTCTTAATTCTCTCTCGACAACAAGAGACAATCTGTGTAAAAAGTTTTTTTTTAGGAAATTAACTATCAATAAAAATAAACTTTCTGAACTCTTACCGAAGAGAAAATCCATCACTTACAACTTGAGACAAAAGCAGAATTTATATATAGTATGAATCTTTTTTGCAGATGCAAAGTTTCTTTAATAAAGCATTCATATACACACCGCTATAGTTCGTTTTCTGGGGTCGGGTTGTCTTTTGTAGTATTAAGCTGGACCAGTAACGGATAATCTCGACTGGACGTCTGGGCGTAAATCTTGTATTTTCTGATGGTATAAGAAGAGACGATAGATTGACTGTGCTGTTTTATTTCTTACAGTTAATCCATGCCAAAATGGCGGACTGGTGGTTCAGTCACCAGGCGGTTATTCGTGCGTTTGTCGCAAGCAGTTTAGAGGGAAACATTGCCAGGGTAAGTTCTTATCCAATCTCGTTCCCCGAGCCTGCTATCCTCGGGAAGGAACGCGAGGGATAATCCTGGGATTATCCGTTGCCGGAAGCCAGGAATCCTGGCTAAGATTGAACTACGCATTCCATTTCAACGGCCAATCAGATTCCTCCCTGAAACGGATTATCCCAGAGCCTCACGTTCCTTCCCGAGGATCGCAGGCTCGGGGAACGAGATTGGTTCTTATCTTGTAGAACAAGTTGACGTCATCAATTTTCCATCTGCCAAAAACGGACCTCAGAACAACCTCGTACCCAGGCTATTTTCTCTCGCACTCTGGTCCCAAAAAGGAATACATTTACGTCTATTATTGGGTTACACCCTCGTGTTTCGCGCGCGAATATATTTCCAGTTGATCTGACCCAATCACAACGTACTCTTACCCTCCCTGAATGTGCGGACATGAGGACTTAACCTATAAAATATATAAAATATAATTTTTTTCTAAATATATACTCTTTTCTCGTTTTAGAAAGAGATCATTGTTTTCCAAACCCGTGCAAGAATGGCGGGAATTGTGTTGATCGTGTGACACACTTTCAATGCAGATGCGGTCATAAATTTCGAGGCTTGAAGTGCGAAGGTACTGTTATGACGACACTGGTGTTTATTTCATTTAATTGGTTGGCTGCAATCTTGGACTTATCCCCTTGAGACCGTTCCAGCCAATATTTCAAAGTTACTCCACATTGCCAAAGCAAACTTTGTTGATTGATGATTCAACATGGAGTTTATCAAAAGGATAGAGTATAGAGGGAAAAGTAATCTCAACCAGTTATGTCCAAGATTGTAGCTACTGTCGAAGGGCAGGAGATCGTTGGAACAAGAAAATTAAATGTTCTCTTTATGTATTTGCTCTCCAAAACAAGACCACTGCATAAAGGTCTTCGTTGCTTTGGGGGCCCCTTCTGTACTGGGGGCTCCTTCTGAGCTGGGGCCCCTGGACAAAGTGCCATCTTCCCTCTACCTTTCGGCCGGCGGGTTTAACTGCATATAACGAGGTTGAAAGTCGACAAGAGTCGCAACTGTCGGTCGCGTTTGCATGGCCACCAACACTTATCATTGAGTTTGTTCCAAGTTCTCTCTAAATCATGAATACTTTCACTTTTAGTCTCGAATACATGCGCCAAGAGTCCTTGCAAACACGGCGCAACTTGCTTGGACCTGGTCAGTGGTCTTCGCTGTGTTTGTCCTGTGGGCTACAAAGGAAAATTCTGCGCTGGTAAGAATCTCTCAGTTTATGACTTGCATTTGTGGCCAATTGGTATTTGGTCTCTAAGAAGAACTGTTAGTTCAGCTAGTCCGATAAAAGATTACCCTTTTTGACCTATATATGGAGAACAGTTAGAACTGATTGAGCTATTATTTAGTATCAATATAGAGTTAAGTGCGTGCTCGCTATTAGCGAGCTTAAGATGCACCTAATCTTCGACGCGGACATGAAGAAAAACTGTAACTATTCCCACAATTTCACTACACGGATAAAAATTATGGCCTCCAGTTGGTAAACAAAGTGTGGCCAAATTTAAATTCGTTTAGCTTTTTTGTAAACTATGCATTGATAAAATATCCATTGATTTTTGTTAATATTTGTTTTCAGATTTTGATTATTGTAATCCTAATCCATGTAAAAATGGCGCGAAATGTACCGCGAAAGGACTGGGTGTGGGTTGTATTTGTACGAATGAATATAAAGGAAATCGTTGTGAAGGTTTGTGCCCGACTCATTTAATGGGGCGTAGCCGTGGGGAGGAGTGAGGGGGGGAGGGGTCCCCCACTTTTCCTCAGGACTAATTTTGTAATTCTTCCAAAACTGAGAAGAAACTGAGGGTGTAACTTCGTAATGTTTTCATCTATGGCATAAAATATACCAAATCAGTGGATTTTAGATTATCATAAAACGTGTCTAGTATGCATGAAATAACATTTCACAGACCATATAATAAATACATTTTCAGAGGGACATGCCCCCGGACAACCGGGGTCCATAGTTGTTCTGTTTATTCGACGATTCGACCGCCCACTCTTTTGGGGCTGACTACGTCCCTGTTCACATCAGGCGTGCCAGAATCGGGACAGGGGCAAATGCCCCCCCCCCCCCTCCTTCGCCCCTTAGATAAAATCCAGCAATGGCAATAAAATCACTCCAACTTTTTAACTTTTCTATGTTTTTCTACTCCAACTTGTTATATTTTCTTGCAGTGAAGAAAGTTTGTCTTCCTAATCCCTGCCGTAACAATGGCAAATGTCTGGAGGATAAGTCCAGTGCACCTTGTCAATGCGCGCAAGGATTCACGGGAAAATACTGTGCAGGTACAGTATGTACAAATCTGTAATAAAAATCGCAGGAATAGCATCCATGCCCTCACAGGAATATCTGATGTTACCTGATAGAAGCTGATCGTTTCTGATACGATTGAATGCACTGGGAAGATTTGATTGGCTCTTATATTTTCAATATCAAATCTATTTCTTCAACAAGATGAAGAAAATCCTTTTATTCACTTGGGATAAAAGCCATATACCAGGATTTTTTTCCCTGCAATTTGCCACACAATTCATAACACTTGATTGTGCAAAACTGCATTGCAGCAACATTGATTCGTGTAACATAATAACATTATATCTAGCCGGAAGTATGTGAAAAAATGTTTTATTTTCAATTTTCTTCACCTAGAAAACGTTTGCAAACCCAGCCCCTGTCTTAACGGAGGTGTTTGTGCCTTCAAGAAATCTGACAGTTCGTCCACTTGGTTACCTGTGTGCAAGTGTGCTCTCACCTTTAAGGGAGAGAAATGTGAAAGTAAGCGAAAATTTTACTAAACTGACTTTATTTATACTGGATAGCTCTATCAGTTCTAAACTGTTCTTCCTAGAGGTCCAGTAAGGATCATCTCTTATTGATCCAGTGTTACTACACGAGGAAACCTAAACTAAACTAATTTATACTGGATAGCTCTATCAGTTCTAATCTGTTCTTCCTAGAGGTCCAGTAAGCATCATCTCTTATTGATCCAGTGTTACTACAGGAGGAAACCTATACTAAACTAACTTTATTTATACTGGATAGCTCTATCAGTTCTAAACTGAGGTCCAGTAAGGATCATCTCTTATTGATCCAGTGTTACTACAGGAGCGAATCCAAACTGAACTAACTATTGGACTGGATAGAAATCAGAATAAAGATGCATTCCAAACATATGGCCATATTTCTTCGTTTTAGTTCCCAACCCGTGTGCAGGCAAGCCCAGCCCGTGTAAACATGGCGTGTGTTCAGATGCGTTCAATGGTCGTCGAATGGATCTCATAGCGGACCATTACGTTTGCACGTGTAATAGAGGATATATGGGGTCGAAATGTGACGGTAGGGGACATAGATGGTATTCAGAAGCATAGATTGATTGAATCCTTTCCTTATCTGTAATAATGTAGATTAAGAATATCGGTATTGGATGATTGAATGTGTTATACCCATTAACCATTAACGGCAAGTAAGGACCATCTCTTTTTGATGTAGTGTTATTACAGGAGGAAACCTAAACTAAACTAACTTTATACTGAATAGCTCTAACAGTTCTAAACTGTTCTCCCTAGAGGTCCTGTAAGGATCATCTCTTATTGATCCAGTGTTACTACATGAGGAAACCTAAACTAAACTAACTTTATTTATACTGGATAGCTCTATCAATTCTAAACTGTTCTCCCTAGAGGTCCAGTAAGGATCATCTCTTATTGATCCAGTGTTACTACAGGAGGAAACCTAAACTAAACTAACTATATTTATACTGGATAGCTCTATCAGTTCTAAGCTGTTCTCTTGAGGTGCAATAAGGGTCTACATGTATATCTATTTAGTCTGTAAAATCCAATGAGATAATATCACCTCGTACTGGTTCAATGTTAGTACAGGAGGAAAGCGGAGTATCCAAATAAAACCAGCAGTGTATGGATGTTGCACAATTTTAACCTGCAGAAAACTGCATACAGATTGCGTTTGCTCTTCTTTCTAACTTTTAGTCCGGATTTGTGATAAATGTGACAAGAATGCGAAGTGCCTCAACAAGGAATGTGTCTGTAATGATGGTTACGTTGGCAACGGTCTCGCATGCAAAAGTAAGTATATGGTAGATGATACATTTCGTGTACGATGTATTTCGTTTAAAATGTATTCCTTGATATGTTTTAGAACTTCCAGACCCTTGTGTACCAAACCCCTGCAAGAATTTTGGTGTTTGCGTTCCGATTCGATCATCTTACGATTGCCGTTGTCCTTTCTCGTTCGTCGGTGCAAGATGTGAACAGCAACTGTAGCACACGTACAGACTTAGAGAATATAGTGACTTAGTGGTGAGTTCCCTGGTAGGCTACCGACGTTGCTAGATTACATTTCGAGTAAAAATGTCCCAACTTGTCAACAAGATGTGTTCCCACTGCTTGTTCCCAGTTGTTGACAAGTCTGGAGAGTTATTATCATCTTGCAACCTTGGTTGATTAGGCCAACAGACTCGTAACAAGTCGTTGTCATACCAACAAGTTAGTGTTACCAACAGAAGTCTGATATCGTCTGCACGTAACAAGTTGTTAATAAGTTGATGACAACAAGCTCGTAGCAACTTGTTACGAGCAGCCTGTATTAGTCTTGTTGAAACAACTTATTGCAAGTCTGTTACTGTCATCAACTTTATAACAAGTTCACAACAACTTGTTCCAGACTTGTCACAACAAATGGGAACAAGCAGTACGAACACATCCTTATATCGGCTTGACAACAACCTTCTTACAACTTGTTTGGAGAGATCTGTAACAACTTGGCGTTCTTATGTGTGTAGATGATATGATCTGAACAATATATATATTTATTATATAAACATAAGTTTTATATAGAGTTTTTGGCCACTGAGAAAAATCGTATTTACACCCGTTTTCAAAATTACGCGACCTCCCAGTAAAATACTCTTACTTCAAATGTCAGTTTTATGTCACAAAAACTGCTAAAAATAGCAAACGTAAACAAACTGTCAAAAGACATTTTAAACCGTATTTAATACCAAAACTGAACAAAAATGAGTTAGATAACTTAGATATGCAAACTAAAGCACAATACAAACCATCACAACAGAAATATGTGCCGTGAATAACTTTTAAAGTTTGAAAAATAACAATTTATCCCGGAATCTAGCCGTCAGTGTAAAACACGCGCGCTAGACTATAACGGTGATGTTATGTCTTATGATTTTGTATGTGCTTAAATTTTACAATAATTCTCACTAAAATATCTTGAAAATCATTGTAAGCCTGTTCATATAAAGCATACAAAGCATATACATCGACAAGGAACCGCAAAACTCAAAGTTTAAACTTCGTGACCGAATGACATAAAACTGACATGTCAACTCTAGCATTTTCGTCCTTGGTCGCGTAATTTTGAAAACGGGTGTAAACACACGTAAAAAATACGATATTTTTACGTGTGAAAATATCATTTGTTGTCAAACGCATTGCCACGGACGTTTTATTGTTTTTCACTGAATTTTGTTTATATAATAAACAGAAAAATACATGGGTGCTTGGAAATACCAGATTTATTTCTCGTGTTGAACATGATATCTCACTCGTTCGCTGTGCTCACTCGTGAGGTATCATGTTCAACACTCGAAATAAATCTGGTATTCCCGCGCACCCATGTATTATTCTCTATATATTTATACCGAAGAAAAAATAGAGTGCTTCCAGTTTTATTTTAAAGATATTAGAATTCTCAGAAGAACAGTTTACTTTCTATAAATCCGTATGACTACACTTAATCCTATATTGTAAATAAAACTTTAAATTAGTAACAAAAAACTTTTAAATACAAAAACCATGAAAGATTAAAGCTTAAACTGTAAAAGATTAAACTATATATAACACTGTAAAAATAAATTGGTTAAAACGAACCGATATTAGCCTAAGTTGGTTGTCAAATTTTAACCCTTTTTTCAATCTGAGGCAACAATGTATCGCTTTACTTTAACCAATTTGTTTTTACAGTGTTTATGTATGAATGTAAACGAATTAAATAAAATCCTGATTTTTTAAAGGAATGTCAATAACATGTTGTTCCTTGAATTGAAACTATAAAAGGCCATGTAGGATTTTGTCTTTTTGATTTCTTCATTTGTAATGTCAAGAAAGTGAACTTTTACCTGTCGGAGTTAATGGATTTTGACAGAAATGTTTTCTGAACCTGTATTAAATTAATTACAAAGTTAGTTTTTAAGTACATTTAACTTGTGATAAAATGAAAAAGATAAAGACAACGGAAAACTAACACTATATCGAATAAAAAATATAAATAAAAATAAAAATGACAAACTTTCGGTTCATAAATCCGACCTTTAACGTCACAAAATTCAATTCGTTTCATGGATAAGCAGTCAAGCAATAATGAAAAAAATATAAACGAGATGTGAATAGATTAATTCAATAGATTAAGGTAAGAAAACTAAAATTTTTGAACGTATATCCATATAGAATGACTTTTTGTTATTATTATTAGAACCTTATTTACACATGCATGCAGGGAGTCCAATTTAGGCTACATCATTTTTCACACCGTGAAAAATTATAACATTAAATATTATATATACACATACAAACAGACGCGAGACTATTGCTGGATTACAACAAATATATATGATTTTAAGATAAAAATTGTTTAGACTAATTTATATACTGTATGTGCTTTAAATTGATCAACTGATTCAGCATTAGTTGCCTGCACAGGTAAGCTATTACACAGGACAGCACCTCGTTATCAAAAACTTTTCTTGAAGGCCTCAGTCAAAGGTCTTGTAACAAACAATTTAACTTCTAAACCTCGTAGACCGTAACTATGAAAGAATGAAACACTCGTGAATTTATTAGAAATATTTTCCGGTATACCATTTCGTGTACCGTCTTGAACAAATCTTTTAAAATGCTGTCTTCTTCTTTCTTCTAAATTCAACCAGTTTAGGTCGGACAGCACTTTTTGTAACCGGGTGTTATAATCAGACCCATTTATAATACGTGCGGCTTTATTTTGTATAATTGTTGTATTTTTTGTGCAAGACCCTTCCCCAATTAAAGTGAAACACAAAACAGAGCAGCTCATATATTTCATAAACGACTCCTTGGGACTTCATAGCTTAATTGACCGCCAAGAAAGTAAATAAGTTGCATTGTCATAAACCAGTTAAATGTGGATTAAAAATTAGTTAAGCGTTACGATACGGTCTTAGGCACAAAATGTAAACAACATTTAGCGTTTATAGTCGCCATTTTGTTTCATATAACAATATAAATATAAATAAATATATTTTTATGTGTAATGATAATCTTTAAGTTCAACTAATCGTTGACCTCTATATTTCATATAGAGTTATGTCAGCCTTTTAAAGCATGGTTGAAGATTAATGGATTTAAAACATTGTAACCTCTAAATGTTGGATTCTTCGTTAAATCAAGATGGCGTAGCGTAAGGATTATTGGACTACAAAATACTGAGTGATTTAGAATGAAATCGGTTTATATCACATCTGTTTTAACTTGGACCATAGTGTTGGCTTTTGACGGCTCTTTATCTTCGAACAGCTACACTTTCCCATCAAGGAAAGAAGATGATATTTATGTTCTACGCAATAACAACTGGTTCAAGTCTTCAAAATTTTCAAATGACCACAACAGTTTTTCAACACGAAGGAAAAGACAAGTAGACGTGCAAATGGGTGGAATCCAACACGTCTTTGAAAGTCCGCAGAGTAGTTACGGCAATCAAAATTTAGGAAATAGTCCGGAACAGATGGAATTTGGTGGATCTACGCCAAGTGAGTTGTCTGGTAATGTAGCACCTTCGGATTCTATGACTACGGTACCATTGCTTTCACAGAATCCCGAGGTTAGCATAGAACAAACTGCTAGCAAGTCGTTTAGTGGTATTGACAAGGGGAGTCAAGCACAAAGAAGTGATTCTGCGATGCCTAATGCATTAAATAAGTACGCTTCCATGCCACCAAGTTCACAAATGGAAGAGACTCACCCTCAAACAACTGCACAGGACCATTTGCGCAGTGACCCTCTTCTGGAAAATCTATATAACAAAAACGAGAGGTTAAATTCTCCATCGCAAACTGAGGGAGCTCGCGATCAGGGTTATTCGCCAAATCGTCCAGATAATTTCCCCAGTGATCCTATGACAGATAATCTACCCAACAAAGATAGATCATTAGTCTCTCCGTTGCAAACCGAGCAGGCCAACATTCAAAATATTCCACAAGAACATTTAAGCAGTGATTCTGCCGTTTTCAATCCATCCAGAGATGGTTTATTAATGTCCCCTTCTGAAGCACAAAAAACTTATATCGAGAACACTTCGCATGAACATTTTCATACTGACGCGACCCTACCTAACCTAGCATCTTCGTCTTCACAAACAGTAGAGCCCCACAACACATTACCCCTCGGGGACCTTAGTCATTTCCACACCACTAACCCCAACATCGATGATGATATGGCACACCCATTTACCTCGCATGTCGGAGACCCAACCCTAGAGCCATCAAACCCCCACATGGGACCTGTCGTACACCCAGATTCAGGACCTCAAGTTCTAAATCCTCTGGGTCCGGATAACCTTCACATTATCAAGAAGTTTTATCCACTACCAGTTGTTCAAAAAGTCCCCAAGCCCATTCCAGTGTTGGTCACTAAGCCGGTTCCGTATCCTGTACATCAGACGAGGTTCCAGCATGTACCTCAACCGTATCCACAGCCGTTTTCCAAACCAGACGTTCATTTGTCGTACATACATTTAGATAACAGAGGTAAGATGAAAATGAACTAGATTTGTTTTCATTGGATGACTTTATGAGATCTAAACTGTTCTCCCTGGAGGTCCAGTAAGGTTCATCCTTTATAGTTCCAGTGTTATTTCAGGAGGAAACCTAAAAGCAAAATAACTTTATTTATACTGGATAATTCAATCAGATGTAAATAGTTCTCCCTGGAGGTCCAGTGAGGATCCTCTCGTGCATGATTCAGTGTTACTGCCGGAGGAAATCTAAACTAACTTTATACTGGATAGCTCTATCAGTTCTAAACTGTTCTCTCTAGAGATCCAGTAAGGATCATCTCTTATTGATCCAGTGTTACCACAGGAGGAAACCTAAACTAAATTGACTACTTATTTATACTGGATAGCTCTATTAGTTCTAAACTGTTCTCTCTAGAGATCCAGTAAGGATCATCTCTTATTGATCCAGTGTTACCACAGGAGAAAACCTAAACTAAATTAACTTTATTTATACTGGATAGCTCTATTAGGTCTAAACTGTTCTCTCTAGAGAATAGAGATCCAGTAAGGATCATCTCTTATTGATCCAGTGTTACCACAGGAGGAAACCTAAACTAAACTAACTTTATTTATATTGGATAGCTTTATCAGTTCTAAACTGTTCTCACCAGAAGTGTAGTAAAGATCATATCTTATTGATTCATTGTTACTGCCGGGGGAAACCTAAACTAAACTAAACTAACTTTATTTATAACTTTATTTGCATGTCTGTGTGTCTGTCTGCGCGATAACGTAAAAATATCAAACGTATTAATACGAAAATTGCTGGGACTAAAATCTGACTAATGAACATTGTCCAAAGACTATAATCGAATAAATTGTGGTTAAATTTGGTTGAAACCTGGATGAGAAATTAACAATAGTTTGTCTTGCTTTGCTGGGCAGAGTAAAGTGAATGCAAAGTATTTTTCATTTTTAGGAAACATGTTGGCGTGAGTTTACTTGACTAATTTTGTTATCTTTTGTTACAGCCAATCCATGCAAACATGGTGGAATTATAGTTCAAAGTCCTGGCGGTTACACATGTTTATGTCGAAAGGCTTATAAAGGAAAACATTGCCAAGGTACGTCGCTCTGTATTTTCGTTTCAATTTGTTAGGCTTATGTTCTAGTTCAAGATTCTGGGCAACCGTCAACAACCATCTACCAAAACGATCATCGTGCCACCACTGAACTCTGACCATTACTGGTTATTACAGATGTCCCATATGATAAAGTAAAAACCATGATGTTTAATATTTTCCAGGAAAATACCATTAATTTCATGGTAAATATTAAACATCATGGTTTTTATCATATGTGAAATCTATAATAACAAATAATCGTATCAGTTCAGTTTTTACATTGATAGTATACATGGTAAATACTTAAAAACCATTCAAAAACCATAAATGGAATTTCATTTTTTTTCTCTGTGTTATATGGTAGATATACAACTTCTGGTTTGTACCTGGCAACTGGACTCTGTAGCTCAGTTAGTTAGAGCCGTTGAACTATAAGTAAACTGGAAGGCTAACTGCTATGATGGAGGCCTATGATTCGCTGAAGCCAAAATAGTTTTTCTGAGTTATGAGCAGAAATACTTGATCCCAAACGATGGGCTATATATCAAACTGAAGCTATTGAAAATTTCTATTCGGTGTGGAAATTTCAAGACTTCAGCGAAAAGAAAAATATTTTAAAAACACAAAAACAACTGCCATTCGGCCAACAAATGGCAAATTATCGGCAATTATTTTTGTAGTTTTTAAATATTTCCCTTTTAGCTAAAGTCTTGAAATTCCTACACCAATTAGCGTTTTTCAATAGCTTCAGTTTCATATGCAGCACAACGTTCTGTGTGTGTTGAGTATTTCTGCTCATAACTGAGAAAAACTAAAATGCACTGGTTTCAATCCCCCCTGAGTTAGCCTTCCAGTTTACTTTATAGTTCAATGGTCAGAGCACTGCACCGGAATTGTAGGGCCACATGCTCAAATTCTGCCACACTTGTTACAGCCACATGTACTCGTCCATTAAAGAGTGACATAGTTTGGTATAGAATTTACATCCTGATATTACTTTCCTTTATTATTTAGAGCGAGACAAATGTTATCCGTATCCATGTGAGAATAATGGTGATTGTATTGATCACGGGACTCATTATGAATGCAGGTGTCCTAGGGGATTCAAGGGGATAAACTGTGAAGGTACTACGTCATAGTTTTTCTTGGGGCTTGTTTATGTGAGGCCTACTAACAGGGAAGTCCCCGATACGAATGCCCTGGTTGACACATGTCATATAAAATTCAATTTGTGTTCATACGAGGAACAAGTTATCCCGGCTACACACGTAAAAATCTTATAACTTGTCAACAAGATGTGTTCACAACAGGCTTGTAGCAAGCTTGTCAACATGTTGTTGACAAATGCTGTTATTTTGTCAATTTGCTACAAGGTTGTCACTCGCAACATCTCAACAAGATGTGTTCGCAACATACTTGTAGCAAGCTTGTCAACAAGTTGTAACAATGTTGTTATTTTATCAAGTTGCTACAAGGTTGTCACTCACAACTTGTCAACAAGATGTGTTCACAACAGGCTTGTAGCAAGCTTGTCAACAAGTTGTAACAATGCTGTTATTTGTCAAGTTGCTACAAGGTTGTCACTCACAACTTGTTGACAAATTATTGACTGCAAGACGGTAACAAGTTGTTGGAACAACTTGTAACAAGTTTGTTGAGCTCAACAACCTTGTAGCAAGTTGTCAACAAGCCGCTGACAGCTTGCCAACAAACCATGAACAAGCAGTGCGGCGAACACATCTTGTTGACAAGTTGTTGAAACAACATTGCTGCAAGTCTGTATAGATGAGATCTCATCTTGCGCTATACACGCACTGCTTGTGTTCACACTGCTTGTCCCAAGTTGTCAACAAGTTTGGAACAAGCTGTTAATAACTTGTAACAATCTTGTTAATATTATCAGACTTGTTGCAAGGTTGTTCCAACAAGTCCAATACAATCATGATATAACAATATTGTTACAACCTTGTGTTGTCAACCTTGCATCATCACTGTATCAGACTTGTTAGAACAACCTTGTAACAAGTCTGATAATGCCATCAAATTTGTTACAAGTTGTAACAAGTTTGAAACAATCTGTTAACAACTTGTAACAAGCTTGATGGCGTTATCAGACTTGTTACAAGGTTGTTCTAACAAGTCTGATACAGTCATGATATAACAAGAATGTTACAAGGTTGACGACACAAGGTTGTAACAATATTGTTATATCACGACTGTATCGAACTTGTTGGAACAACCTTGTAACAAGTCTGATAATATCAACAAGGTTGTTTTAACTGTTAACAAGTTATTCCAAACTTGTTGACAACTTGAGACAAGCAGTGCGAAGGCAACTTGTTGACTGCTTGTTGGCAGATTTGCTACAAGATGTGAGATTTTTGCGTGTGTAGGTGGGATTTCCATATTCATCCCACCTGACAAGTTTGGACATTATTTGCCAATTTTGACCTATAATAGAATTGAACGGCATATTAGCAGACACGCCTTTTTTATCATTTTATAGTTGCTGACAAATGTCACAACCACCCGTGCAGAAATGATGCTAAATGTATTCAATTGTTATCCGACATTAAATGCATTTGTTCTCCCGGATATAAGGGAAAATATTGTGAAGGTAACTATCAAATGTGCCAGTGTCAAAGGTTCCAGATATGATGTCATTAGATGAATTGCAAATTAGTTTTCCTTTGTTTTCCTACGACGTCATATCTGGAAACTTTGACAGTGAAAAAGTTGATCAAGATGAGGTTTTCACTATAAAGATATATTACATTTCTTCTTAGAATGACCCAAATATTACACATACCAAAAATTATATTTGGGGTTAGTCGCACTTTAAATACTCAGTTCCCTGAAACATTACTTACAAATCCTTCAAAACGTAGAGTTTACCCATGCAAAATTCCCACTGTGATCACAGAAACATTGATAGTGTAAGCCAGACTGAACAAAAAATCCATCAGAGTGTAGCTTCCAGAAAGCTGGCTTGGTGTTTATGATGCATGCATATTAAATAGCTTTCTTTAGATATAGATCACTGTCATCCTAATCCATGCCGCCATGGCGGGAAATGCGAGGAGTTGAATCAGGCCGCGTCATGCTCGTGTACAGCTGAGTTTAAAGGATCTCGTTGTCAAGGTCAGTTAATTTTAATTAAAGTTGCTGCACGTTTGTGACTCTGGACGAGGCAACTATGTAGAGAACTAATGCCTTTGCAAACCGGCACTTGTCAACAAGTTGTAACAATGCTGTTATCTTATCAAGTTGCTAGAAGGTTGTTACTCACAACTTGTCAACAAGATGTGTTCGCAACAGGCTTGTAGCATGCTTGTCAACACGTTGTAACAACGGTGTTATTTTATCAAGTTGCTACAAGGTTGTCACTCACAACTTGTCAACATGACGTGTTCACAACAGCCTTGTAACAAGCTTGTGAACAAGTTGTAACAATGTTGTTATTTTATCAAGTTGCTACAATGTTGTCACTCACAACTTGTCAACAAGATATGTTCGCAACAGGCTTGTAGCAAACTTGTCAACAAGTTGTAACAATGCTGTTATTTTATTAAGTTGCTACAAGGTAACATGTTACTCACAACTTGTCAACAAGATGTGTTCGCAACAGGCTTGTAGCAAGCTTGTCAACACGTTGTAACAATGGTGTTATTTTATCAAGTTGCTACAAGGTTGTCACTCACAACTTGTCAACATGACGTGTTCACAACAGCCTTGTAACAAGCTTGTGAACAAGTTGTAACAATGTTGTTATTTTATCAAGTTGCTACAATGTTGTCACTCACAACTTGTCAACAAGATATGTTCGCAACAGGCTTGTAGCAAACTTGTCAACAAGTTGTAACAATGCTGTTATTTTATTAAGTTGCTACAAGGTAACATGTTACTCACAACTTGTCAACAAGATGTGTTCGCAACAGGCTTGTAGCAAGCTTGTCAACACGTTGTAACAATGGTGTTATTTTATCAAGTTGCTACAAGGTTGTCACTCACAACTTGTCAACATGACGTGTTCACAACAGCCTTGTAACAAGCTTGTGAACAAGTTGTAACAATGTTGTTATTTTATCAAGTTGCTACAATGTTGTCACTCACAACTTGTCAACAAGATATGTTCGCAACAGGCTTGTAGCAAACTTGTCAACAAGTTGTAACAATGCTGTTATTTTATTAAGTTGCTACAAGGTAACATGTTACTCACAACTTGTCAACAAGATGTGTTCGCAACAGGCTTGTAGCAAGCTTGTCAACACGTTGTAACAATGGTGTTATTTTATCAAGTTGCTACAAGGTTGTCACTCACAACTTGTCAACATGACGTGTTCACAACAGCCTTGTAACAAGCTTGTGAACAAGTTGTAACAATGTTGTTATTTTATCAAGTTGCTACAATGTTGTCACTCACAACTTGTCAGTGTGAGCCCCCTAGATAAGCCATTTGCGCTTTTGGGGCAAACACATTATATTATTAATAAAATATGTTTATAAAAAAAACAAAACTTGTCAACAAGATATGTTCGCAACAGGCTTGTAGCAAGCTTGTCAACAAGTTGTAACAATGTTCATTTTCTCCTGTTGTCTCGAGGTTCTTACTCAAGACAAGATGTTGAATTGCGACAACCGACAACCACAAGTTGGTCAACAAGTGATTGGAATTTTTTTGTTTCAGTTCCCAAGACATGTTCTCAAAATCTTTGCCATAATGGTGCTACGTGCATGGAAGACAAACCCAGCAGTCCGTGTTTGTGTGCACCCGGCTTTTCTGGTCGATACTGTACTGGTGAGTTTGTTGAATATTGAAATCAGTAGATAGGATTGTGTAGACGGAATTTTTGAACATAATGTTTTGTACACTTTTTGTATTCGAAAACCATCTACTATTAGTTCTATCGAACGAGATATCCAAAATCTACTTGCAATACTTGTCAATATTCGTCTTAATTTCTCTTTAATCTAGAGGATGTTTGTCTACCCAATCCATGTCAACACAATGGAAAATGTTATCCAATCAGAAGTGACGTCAATACCACGTGGTACCCTGCCTGCAAATGTAGTCCTACTTATAAGGGTGTCCTGTGCCAAGGTAGAATGCGCAAAGTGTTTTTTTGTGATATTTTAGCATAATTTGCCTCAAGTGGGGCGTCAATCATTGAGCTGAGATGAACTAAAACAAAGAAACAAAATGGCTGTCAACGCATCTTATGTTAATGAGTTATCCGATTACTATAAAAACCAATATAAACAATATAAAAGTCATCTTTTACCCTTCAGACAGATCCTTGATCCCCACGTGACCAAATGTAACCCGAGAATATATTCAGATATTTTTCTCCGTTTAGTTTCCAATCCCTGCGCCTCTAATCCTAGCCCATGTGTCCATGGTACATGCTACGATGCTTACACGAATGTTGACCAAGTTGAAATTCCTCCTGAGGGATATACCTGTCATTGTTACGAGGGATACTTTGGAATTAACTGTCGATGTAGGTAGCCTGGTTGATTTAAATGAAATTTTATGTCTACTTTAAGACGTTGTTATACATACAGTAAAGTGTCTTCATTTGATCCCCCCCCCCCCCCCCCCTCATTCTTTCCTTTATTTCTTCCATTCTTTGTCTGATAGTATCTTCTTTGGTGAATAAAAAATCTAGCTATATTCCTTAATTCGTCTGGCGTTAGACAAAAAAAACTAACAAGATGGAGCGCATCAGGGGGCATTACATATTTGTGGATTAAACTATTTATTTATGATTTAATTTCTAGACAGAAAATGTGATCATTGCGATGTAAATGCTCGTTGTCTCGATGGGTTTAAATGTACTTGCAACGAGGGATATCAAGGGGATGGACAGGATTGTCAAAGTACGTATGGGTACACAGAGGACTAATGGACGTTACTGAACCTCAAGAGAGAACAGTTTTATCTCGTATAAATCAAGTTAGTTTAGTTAAGATTTCCTCCTGTAATACCATTGGATCAATAAGAGATGATCCTCACTGGACATATAGGGAGAACAGTTTAGAACTGATAGAGATATACAGCATAAACCAAATAAATATAGTTGTCTCTATTATAGTTGTCTCTATTTTAGAAATCCCAGACCCGTGTGCCCCTAACCCATGCAGAAATGAAGGACTTTGTAAGGCAGAACTGGACACATTTGAATGCAAGTGTGTGCCTGGATTCAAGGGGAAAATATGCCAAGGTATGTTTATGGCATCAGAACTTGTATAGATGGTACCAGTTCAGAACTGCTTGATCTATCGATTCATATTAAAATATTTACTTTATCCTTACTTTTTTTCATATTTATTTCAGAGAAAACTCCATGTTCAAGTGTGGTCTCTCCCTGCAGAAATGGTGGGACTTGCATTGAAGCGAAGAATGATTTTCGTTGTATTTGTACAAGAGAATGGAAAGGAAAAGATTGCTCTGAAAGTAAGATTTGTGATAGCATAGAGCTGGGACCGGTTGTTCGAACGCCTTGACCCAGGCATTAAAATACGGAATTTTTACAAGGACACAATTTGCCTTCAGAGGCGTATTTTTGGTATAAATGCGCAGACTCACGAGAATGAGTGCCGAAGCCACAAGTTTAGCGTCGCAAACGCGAGCTTTTATGGGGGTCTCTGAAATGGCATTTCCAGAGTTCTGAGAACAGAATTTTTAAAATCTTTGGCAATTTTGCGTGGATTACATTAATATATTTTCAGTTTAATATATTTTCAAGTACACAATTTTCAATTTACAAGGGCACATTCGCCTTTTACAAGGACACAAAGTGTGTACAAGGACACGCTATTTTAATGCCTGCCTTGACCGTAGGTTAACCTAAAATTCAAAGCAAACTTTCCAACAGGTTCCAACATGAGTTTTCTTTCCTGACGTTTTGAAATAAACTGACGTGCATAAATACACAAACCAAAACTTTTGAATGTCTATCGTATCTATTTAGATGCGACAAGTTTGTGCATTGGTAATCGTTGTCTGAACGGGGGAACATGCAGGGTATCTGAGGATGGCAAGAGTTGGTATTGTGTATGCAGAGGTCCTCGCTTTAAACCACCGGATTGTGGTAAGATATGAAATATGAAATAAGATGCACGATCAGAAATTGAGAGCTAAGATAAGGAAAGATGAGGTAGCTCTTCTTAACTGAACATGCGTAGAGTTTACATGCTAACGTGTACTGAATATTAATGAGGAAAATTGCTAAAAAATTTCAAGATATAATCGGCAAAGTTTTTGATTTATTGCTAGAATTTCGAGATTTAGAAAAGGTTAAAGACCCAGGAAATATATTATGTGATTCAAGCATAATTAAGAACTATTTAAACTTACAATTTGAGCCTTACTTCGCCACAATTAAGTCGAAATAAAGCACAACAAAAAGCGCGGCTGCACAATATCATGCAACGAATACTTAGCAACATGACCGTTTTTCTGTCGTTGTTTGGCCGCCAACCCAGCCCCCAAAATTTGAGTGAGTACGCGTGTGCCGTAGCCATCGACCACGCTGTAGAGCAGCTTGGCTTGGGGCGCTGATCAATATTTTCCATCCCTGAGCATGAATGCAAGAGCTAAGAACTTTTTCTCTTGTATCAGCATGTAACTGTCCAGCTAATGCTCACGTCCCCGTCGAACGGAACCTAACCTGCAACAACCCGCAAGGCCTGTGTGAATGCCCGCCAGGTTATGAACATCACAAAGGCCGTGACGTCTGCACTGATGAAAGAGCGAAGGTGGTTGTTGGAAAAGGAGGTAATATTGGAATGTATCTATTGTATGGCATAGTTGTATTGTATGGCGCCAATATTAGGGATGTTCGGTACGAAAATTTGGGATAGCGATATACACACTTAAAAACGCATATGGTGTAACAAACCTGCACCAGACTTGTAGGAATGCTGTTCCAACAATTTGTCAACAACTTGCTGCAAGGTTGTTGAGCTCAACAGACGTGTTACAAGTTGTTTCAACAACTTGTTATCGTCCTGCAATTCAACAATTTGTCAACAAGTTGTGAGTGACAACCTTGTAGCAACTTGATAAAATAACAGCATTGTTACAACTTTTTGACAAGCTTTCTACAAGCCTGTTGTGAACACATCTTGTTGACAAGTTGTGAATGACAACCTTGTAGCAACTCGATAAATAACAGCATTGTTACAACTTGTTGACAAGCTTGCTACAAGCCTGTTGTCAGAACACGTCTTGTTGACAAGTTATAAGTGACAATCTACATAGCAACGTGCTAAAATAATGGCATTGTTACAACTTGTTGGCAAGCTTGCTACAAGCTTGTTGCGAACACATCTTTTTGTGCACCCGAAAGCGTATACTGATATTACTGGTATAAACTGGGTTTTTTGCTTTCTTGATTAGTAATTAATTCGTATTAATTCCAGAGCGGGGATGTGATCCTAACCCGTGTAAAAATGGCGGGAAGTGTGTCTCACTGACCTCATCGAAATGGATGTGCCAATGTACGCAGGGTTGGAGCGGGAAAATATGTGATGTTAACGGTGAGTTTGGTCGAATATGTACCATTCGCAAGCAGGACTGCTTTATTCAGAATACTTATCTATTATATTTAATGCAATATGTTGTCGTTTTTCTTCTGCAGCTCCGATAGAAAAGAATTCAAGCTGTGCTCCCAACCCCTGTGAAAATGGAGGTTTATGTAGCATTGTGAACGGTGCTGCCGTCTGCGCATGTCCAGAAGGATTTCTGCCACCCCTTTGCGAACTCAAAGGTAATGTCAGGAGAACTACAGTCTTAGAACCGTCATACGGTCATGATACGCCTCTGGCATAAATCTGGCCAAATAAAGCATTTCAAACTTCATTTGTTCATCCTAGGTCGCACAGCGTGTTCCCCAAATCCATGTGTCAATGCAGGACGTTGCGTCCGGGCTGGCAAAAGATACGACTGTATTTGCGATCAGCGGTTTACTGGACCAAATTGCGAAGGTACAATGATATTAAAGATTCCATAATGTAATAAACTTATTCGGCGAAACTGCGTTCATTTATCCATATCCAATTCGCTCATATATGTAATTGAAATGCTCGGTTATACCGCTTAGGCCATATAAAATAAATTCCTTGATTCTCATCGCTAAATTTTAAAAACTCCCAGGAGGCGGGAGGTTTATATTTTATATTTTATGTCAAAATATAAAAAAAAGTTTAAAATTTAAAAAATTGGAGAGGGAGGTCTTTTTATATTTGCCCTTAAATATATTATATATAGAAGAACGCTATATAAGTGGATAATTGCACATGCGCTAATGAACATGCATAAGGGTCCACACAAATCGTTGTAATAAGGCTATAAGCCCATTTTTCCCTTCAGTATTCCAAGCATCCCTTAACATGTTGCAATATTAACGATAAAACAATTTTATATCGCAAAAATTCCAATATAAAATATAAAAATAACTAAATCTCTGAAGATGCTCGGTCGGGCGGTAAATTTATATTTTATAACAAAATACAAAAATATATCAACGCGGAAACCAAAATATCGTCGGGCGATGATGAGAATCAAGGAATTTATTTTATATGGCCTTACGTTATTCACGTAAAAACTCGCAAGTTGTTACAGATCTGAAAACAAGTTGTAACAAGTTTGTTGTCAAGCCGATATCAGCATGTGTTCGCACTGCTTGTTCCCAGTTGTTGTGACAAGTCTGGAACAAGTTGTTAAAGTGTCTATGACACGAAATTTCACGCCAAAGGTTTATGGTTGCATTGTAAAGATCATTTAAAATGACTTAATAATTTCTTTTATAAAATTTTGGTAACTTGCTCCCTTTTCAAGATATTCAACTTTGTTTCATATGCAAATATCACCGGTGTGATATCACATAATGAGTTTTCAGAAAAGTATAGTTTTCTTGACGAATACGTGTCTAAAAAACTTAAAAATTGCCCTTGTATACGTATTAATTTCATAACTGGTAATTAACCCTCTGTATTTGTTTGTAAAAATATTTTATCAAAGTAAAATATTGCGTTTTCAAAATGTCATTATGCGATGTGATGTCACACCGGTGATATTTGCATATGAAACAAAGTTGAATATCTTGCAAAGGAAGCAAGTTACCAAAATTCTATAAAAGAAATTATTAAGTCATTTTAAGTGATCTTTACAATGCAATCACAAACATTTGGGGTGAAATTTCGTGTCATAGGCACTTTAACTATCACCTTGTTACAAGGTTGATGATGATAACAGACTTGCTACAGGCTGTTCCAACAAAACCAATACAGCCTATTCGTAACAAGTTGCTACGAGCTTGTTGTCATCAACTTGTTACGTGCAGACGACATCAGACTTGATTTTTTCTGTGTTGGTGTTGTGTACTCAGGTGAATATGATATTTGTGATGTTACTCTGAGTGCATATCCACACCGGGCGAGCATGAAAATATGGCCCGGCCACGGTGGGAATCGAACCTACGACCTTTGGAACACTAGCCCAATGCTCTGCCAACTGAGCTACGCGGTCAGGACGGTTCGAGTAAGTCGGATATTTCGGAACACAATCTAGTTCCTTCGATACCAGTGTATCTAGTAATATATGCTCGCCCGGTGTGGATATACACTCAGAGTAACATCACAAATATGATATCAGACTTGTTGGAACAACTTGTTGCGAGTTTGTTGGTCTTATCAACCTTGTTACAAGATGATAACAACTTGTTCGGTTGTTCCAAGCTTGGGAACAAGCAGTGCGAACACATGTTATTGGCAAGCTCTGGGATTGCTTAAAAATGTGGGATGCTTAAAAATGTGAATTAGATGCCCTTTATGTACGGAAAATATACCAAAATCCAGTACCCTCATGAGAATGCTCATGAGCATATTACTGAATTTTGGTACATATATTTGAGGCGCTCATGACCATTCTGGATTTTGGTACATATTTGAGCGTGCTTATGAGCATACCTTAATATATTTTGGTATCTCTTCTTTTGGTATCTCAGTCACGTAAGCCAGCTTCAATTTATTACTAATTCAGTATTTTGATTGTTGCGTTTTTAATTTTTTAGTCGATAGGTGTAAAAAATGTGACCCAGTCAATGCTGTATGTAAACTTGGACAATGTTCCTGTAAAGCTGGATTCGTAGGAAATGGTTATCAATGTTTACCTGGAAAAAAAGGTAGTGCACAGTATTATAGAAACATGCATCTAGGGTAAAATCTGAATAAATTGTTTGGCCACCTAAACTAACTTCACCTATGTTGGATTTCTCGAAATATTCTCTGTCGTAGCCAGGGAAGCTTTACTAAATTTCATCACCAAATGGTTTATATTGTAAGGGACCGGTCATTATTTATGGCGGGAGTGGCACCGAAGAGAAATGTTTTCCGTGTCAAATATTTTGCTGACCCAACCATTAAATAGACAAAAATTTGATTACCCAACCTCAGATATCAATTAAAAAATAACTACCCACCCCTGGCCAAAAACTTAACAAAAGGATACCATTCAGTTGTCATACATGTCCTTTATCACTTCAGTGACATGAGTTTGATAACGGCTTGTGAAATTTTCTGCAGTCTAAAGTTTCATGTTGTCTGCACATGTACTTTCTTTGGAAACACAATTTGTTTTGTCAAACTATGATCAAGATAGTGACTCTGATTGATTCACATATTGTATTGAGAAATGACTGTTGACATTGCTTTTCAGTCTCCAATATTTCAGTGGGTCATGCTTTGGAAATGACAATAAATTTTTATTACCCAACCCTTGAGTTGTTTTGTTTTTCATTTACCCAACCTTTTACTCGCTCAAAATTTTGTTTACCCGACCCTTTTCTCTTCGGTGCCACCTCCCGCCATAAATAATGACCGGTCCCTAAGCTTGCAAGAAGCGAGACAAGTCCACATAACAGCGACTTTTAATATTTTTTTGGACAAATGATGGTAAATTTGCTTTGTAAATGGTTAGTTTATTTTGAAATATTGCTTTTCATATTGTTTTAATTGTCTGCATTGGTTCACGAGAATTGGATGCCACCCAAAATGGCGGATATTCGTCATCGTGAGAAAGGCTAATTGATGAGCAAATTACTCCCTTTTTGAGTAAAGCAAATCTTCAGTAAGAATGAACAACTTGCGTTTTAGACTAAATTTTAATCTAAGTAAGAACAACGAAATCTATCACCACATCTAGAAAGAGCGTCTTGGAATTAGTAATATTACAAAGTTTGGTTGCGAAATGTTGTAAAATACGGAAAATATAGCCCTTCAAAGTTGGCAAATTTGTATACTTTTTTATTACGTGCGTGAATTGGTAACTAAATTAGTTACCAATATATTTCCGCACGTAATATAGAAGTGTATACAAATTTGCCAACTTCGCAGGGCTATATTTTCCGTATTTTACAACATTTCGCAACCAAACTTTGCAGTTTTTCTAATTTTGATAACTTCTTTCCGAAAATATCCTTTGTTATTCCCAGATTAAAAATTTTTCTAAAGCGCAAGTCGTCCATTGGGTAAATTTGAAACTTTACTCATAAATTTGGGTAATTTTACTGAATAAATTGGTGAGCGGATTTCCCAACAGGCTATTGTCCAATTGCTAGGGGATCCGAGGTACCTACGATTTTAACGTCCTTATCCAAGAACACGCTTAAGACCAACCATTTACTGATGTCAATGTAAAGGTAGCACTTTTCTCCTCGATTATTTTAAGACCTTGAGTAGAGGTCCGATCAAGGATTGAACCTCGCGGTCTCCCTGCGTGAAAGGCAAGCATGGTGACCACGACACTTGCACCGAGCTTGCTGAGTCGTCAGCACTTTGAAGGAAGATGTACTTTTGTGTTGAAAGTTATTTTATTATTTTCTATAGTTAATGTATGTATCATGTGTCACCCAGTCAAGGCAGTATGCGTGGAAAATAGTTGTCAGTGTAAATCCGGTTATGTTGGTAATGGATACCAATGTACAGAAAGCCACCCTGGTAAGGCATACATTTCTAATTTTTCTGGAGTTCGCCGGAAATGGTGTAGCGGTGGTATGGTGTCGTCTTGTGTCATATGGAATGCCCCGATCCGGTTTGTGGTGTGGTATGTTGTGGTATGGTGTGTATAGGGTGCTGTGGAATGATATTGTATGACATGATGTAGTATGCGATGATATGGTGTGGTATGTTATGGTATATTATGGTATGGTATGTCATGTCATGGTGTGGTATGTTATGGTATGGTGTGGTATATTATGGTATGGTGTGGTATATTATGGTATGGTGTGGTACGAGGCAAGTGTGATATGGTATAGGGTGCTGTGGTATGATATGATATGGCATGATGTAGTATGCTATGGTATGGTATGTTACGGTATGGTGTGATGTGATATATTATGGTATAGTGTGGTATGAGGCAAGTGTGGTATGGTATAGGGTGCTGTGGTATGTGGTATGGCACGATGTGATATGGCATGATATGGTATGGTAATAGTATAGTATGCAGGGTGTATAAAAAAGGCAATCGAACTTCAGCGCGCTATTGTATATCTAAATTACTCTGCGTACGAACGGGAATTTTTCATATTCGAAAAGATTGGACTTTAGCTGTTGAATGGATATGTTCTTCATGCCAAATGGATAAAAAATGAGCATATACGAATCCGATAAAAAAATGTTAGTCAGAATCGCATATTTTCCGGACATACGAAAATTTTTCCGCACATATCGTAATTTGTTAATTTTTTCGGTAATTTTCGTAAATTTAGCAAATGTTTTGCTATAACTATTACTTTTTTCCCCGAACCACCTCAAATATTTTTGCTGACTGCGAAAAAAATTTGCCGAGTCTAACAGACAGTTACCGACTCCGTGATTACACCTCCCCCCCCCCCACACACACACCCTCTAGCTACGCCCCTGGTTGAGGGTTGGGTCTAAAACCTTTGAAAATTAACCCCCTTTGGGACTTAAGTTGATGAAAATTCACTTCAATAAACTACGCACATATTCATAATTATTATTAAGTAGGAATAAATCTCAGCTAAGCTAGGACAAGTTCGTGATTAATTGCTTTTTCTTTTGTTATGCACTGCTTTAATTGGTGGAAAGGAGGTGGAAATATGCGATTCTGACGAACATTTTTTATCGGACTCGTGCTTGCTTATTTTTTCTCCAGTTGGCATGAAAAACATGTCATTCAATAGCTAAAAGCCTGGTCTTTCCGAATATGAAAAAATTTGTTCATACGCCGAGTAATTCACGTACAATGGCGCGCTCAAGTTCGATTAAGTAAAGCACAGGATGTTATGGTGTCGTTTTGTATGGTATGATAGTATGCTCACAGTATCGTAGTGTTGTATTGTAGTATCATGGTATTGTACTTGCAATTTAGTATATAGTCTAGCAATAGTATGGTATGTCAATATAAGAACACATTGTTATATTCCTCGCAGGTACTGTCCACTATCCAAGTTCTTCAAGTAACCAACAAATACCATGGTTTAAAAGGGATGGAATTTTGTAATATTGTCAGGGAAGTATAATATATTCCCGAATAGAACTGATACATGATTATAGCCATTTAATTTGACCCAATTCACGTTTCATATAGCTCACATGCTTAGCCACCAAATTTGGGATAAACACGTCGTTTATAGCAGATCTGGTCTATTCACAGTTAATAGAATACATGGTTTGGAGACTCGATGCAAGAATTTGGGCCTATCTCGTCACGTGTGTATTGTATTTTTTTCCCACACAACCAATAGCAATGTTTAAATTGAGCATTTGTTAAAGTTACGGATGGATAACTCAACCACAAACTTGTTATTGGTTATTTGAGCGAAAATACAATACACACGTGACGAGATAGGACCAAATTCTTGCATAAAGCTGAACAATAACATAGTTAATGAGTTATATTGTACTTTCATCGAGTCTCCAAACCATCTATTATTAAAAGAACTGTGGTCTATTGTCAGCCTAAACGTGCTGCAATGATTACAAGCAATTCAAAAACCTATTTGTTCGAGAGAATGTTACCCTATTCGGGATGAAAGTACGGCGTATTTTGCACTCGTTAAAATTCATGAGCAATTAAAAAAGTAAACTTATTTAAATAGTTAGTCAGCATATTAAATAGCTTAATTTAAAATACATAAAGCTTTAATTGGTGCGACACTTCTAACACCTATATAAACATGTAAACTGTAAGTGCAAAAAAATCACAAAAGAATCTAAACGCTAAAATATCAAGTTGAAGTGCTCCAAGTACTATATTAAATATCAGTAATACATTGGTTATTTAACTTTGCCAAGATTAAACGAATGTACTATGTGCTAATGTGATTACCCACTAGTACTAGAAAACTTTAATTTAGGATTTTATTTTCCAAAATTAAAAAAGTGCCGTACAATTTATCGAGGGTAGAAGGGTAAAAATATTGATTTTTATTTCAATATTTCTAAAATACTGCTTCCACCCCCGAAAAGTACTAAAGGAAATTTACTTTATACTGTGCATCTAATCTAAAAGTGCATTTTAACGAATGACAACAATTTTCACCAGGTCAGCATTTTTTACAACTCTTTCTACAGTTAGTTCCCATCCAAACAGGATTTGCTTCACATTGACCAGTCGTCGCCCATGATGGACATTTGGCATTGTCATCCACACAAGGAACTGAAATTTTTCCAAATAAAATGTTAGTCACCCCTTAGAGTAGACCTCTGAAGTGCTGACGTCACGCAATTTTTAATACACAGGACGTCTGGAATGCACAGCGCATTGTGGGATACGTTTGGGTCAATAATTCATTGTTTGTGTTTAATTGATGTTGGATGCTATTTTTTAATGGTCCGCGGCTATTTTTCATTAGTATTTTTGCACAAGTGAATATAACAAATCCTACAAGTTGATTGGTCAAATTTGACGTAGCTATTAACCTGATGTATTCATGCACCTACGGGTGAATATAACAAAACCGAAATTTGCAAAATGGCGGCTAGCCGTTTTGCGGAAGTTACTGATAAACAAATAAGCGAAATTAAAATAAATTCAGTCCCAAAAAAACACAAAAGACTTGTGTAAAAGTACTCAGACTCGGTGAATTATGGGGAATATTCACCTGAATATTCGGTGAATATTCCCCGAACAATTAGCCATTTCCCAATCGAGCAGAGGACTGGGTCTATGACGTTTGGAGGGACAACAAGTTATAGTGAGCGAGCTAAATATATATTAAAAGATGCCTTATTATAATTGTTGCGTTTCAGGCTGCACAAATAACTTTAGGAATGTAGGAAAACTTTCTAGATGCCATATTCGGCGTATTGTTTATTTTTTGTCCTTCCAAACAAGCGACTAGACCCAGTCCTCTGCTCGATTGGGAAATGGCTAATTGTTAAATATGTTTATAATATAGCATTTGTAAATTGTGAACGCTGATTGGCTGAGAGTCTTGTTGATGTAACTCAATGTCAACACGGGAACGTCGGAAAATTTCTTTCTTTATGTTTCTTTGTGCTATATTATAAAACAAATATAAAACATTTTTTCCGTATTGATACATAGTTATATCAACATTCGTGGAAATTGGGAAAACTCGAAATTGTTTGAAAACACTCCGCCCTTCGGGCGTCGTGTTTCCACACAATTTCTCGGTTTCCCAATTTCCACTCGTGTTGATATAACTGTATATCAACACGGAAAATGTTTTATATTTGTTAATTATATTTGGCGAGCGAGTACTTACTTGGGCAGCCTGTGCATGCGAGCTTGCATTGAACCATCATGTAACTAGGATTATTGCTGCAATGTCCCTGTTTTGCCCAAATTGCACACTGAGTTCTACCGTCAAGGTCTTCACAATCTAAAAGAAATTTTTAACATATTTAAGGCTTACTATACAAAACAAGTTTGATTTCACATGTATAAATTGATCTTGTTATTAGTTCAGTTTAATTTCTTGACAAATTATATTCTGTTTTTATCTTCGCTCTTTCGGCATTATTTTTTCTTACATTGTAAATACATTTTTAAAATTTATTTGCTAATTTGCAAACACTTCATTATATCTTTATCCCTCTTAATGCTATTAAAAGTGAATGACTTGCTGTTTTCTCGTTCAGAAAACTCCGGTAAATTTATGAGCCGCCATCTTGTCTTTTTTTTTACCCGAGAAGGATACATTGGCAGGATATGTATAGCGGGTTATTTTAAGGCAACGAGGGGATATGTAATTTATTCACCGAGGCGGGCAGCGCCGAAGTGAATAAACACATATCCCCGAGGTGCCTCAAAATAACCTATACTTATTTTTCGCATTGCGAGGTCGCGTTAATGAGTCAGAATATAGAAATAATTCTTAATGCCATATTGCCTTCGTTAGGCCAATAAAAAAATACTTGGTTAGCGTCACACTCTCACAAATTTTCAGAGGCGGGCGGGCCGATTTTTTTTTTAATTTTTACTCGTTTTTTAATTTTTTAATAGTATTTTTGGAGGGGATGGGGGGCGGTTTTTCCACCATATCGGTGATATTTTTTGTACTGATGTTGCGAAGGCCGCCATTTTGCTTTAAGAACCTTGTATACCCAAGCCTACGCGTTCCTATCGATCAGTATATAGCGCGAAGGTCTGAGCATGAGAACAATTTCAAATATTAAACTGTTTTAAGCTGTAAAACGAAGAGATTTACATAAAAAAAATAAAAAAAAATTCAGAGGCGGCAGAAAATCGAGAGGCGGGCGGTGACGCTAACCAAGTATTTTTTTTTATTTGACCTTATGTTGTTTTTTTCTCATTTTTTGTGCTGCAAAGACATTACAGGTGAATATATTAGAGGGGATTGTTAAACGGAAATTGATTAGAGGGGAATATTGAATATATTCCCCGATAAGAACAAAGGAAACCGAGCAAGGTGAAAAATAAGAGCTTTTATTATATAGTAGAGAGTGAGATACTGAAAAATACACAATGAGATATTTTCCATATCTTCACTAGTGAAGATATCGATCACATGACTTTTTCCAATTTGCTTTTGAGCGTGAAATTTCACAATTTTTTGCTTGAAGATATGACTTTTATCTTCTCGTGTTAAAAACAATATTTTACTCACTCGCTGCGCTCGTTCGTAAAATATTGTTTTCACCACTCGAAGATAAAAGTCTTATCTTCGCGCCGCCGTGTAATATCCTCTATATATCCTGCTAGCACAGAACCAATCAAATTGCATGATTTTAAATAAGTTGTATAAACGTATTCCATACCTCCACAAAGCCCACAACTGGCCTTGCAACTGACATTCATGAAGCCTGGGTTATCCTGACATTGGCGAGTGGTTGACCATGAATAGCAATTGGAGTTTGTATCTTCACATTCTAGGGAACGATTGACCAATAAGTCTTCATTGAATTGCACTGCATGATATGCACACGTAAAAATCTCACAACTTGTCAACAAGATGTGTTCGCAACAGGCTTGCATAGCAAGCTTGTCAACAAGTTGCAATAATTGAGCTCAACAAACTTGTAACAGTGCGAACACATCCTGTTGACAAGTTGTTGAAACAGCATTGCTACAAGTTTTTAATGCTGAGTCAGGTTCCTCCAGCATTTGTTACAAATCCTTCAAATCTTAGAATTCCTACTGTGATTGCAGAAACTTTGATGGGTTAACCAGTTTAATTTTTTTTCACCTTTATCCTTCTTTGTTGACAAAAAGAATCCATATTTTTTACCCGTGTTGTTGACACTGCGAATTTATGGTGTGTTTTTTTTTGTCACATCCGCGTTCAAGATTTACCACATCTTGAGCTCTCTATCAAGCTTCATTCTCGTTTGACCGGAGTTAACTATAAATTTTACTTACTTGTTGCTGCAGTCACGGGTACAGCCCTTGTTGTAGGCGCTACAACAGTTGTTTTAGGCGCCACACTTGTTTTAGGCGCCACACTTGTTTTAGGCGCTACAGTTTTAGGTGTTTTTGGTTTGGTACACACTCCACAGCTCATTCTGCAGTAGATATGCATAAACGCTGGATTTGCTGTACATTCGCCATTCGTTGCCCAGAGTGGACAGCGCGTGTCGTCATCCTTGCAGACATATCCTGGACAAGCTCCATTGTCGATGAAGATGTCATCTAGAGCAGTGTCGGAGTAGCCTCTTCCGCCTAACTTCACTTCAAAGATCAGCTGGAGATAAATCGAGATTGTATGTAATTGACTGAATCATTCTAGCATACAGTGGTTTAGAAGAAGAGGGAGGCTCAGCCCCCACCCTAATAAGCTTACGGGGCCTTCAACTTTAATGATTATTTAACAAAGAATTAAATGACAGCTTGCCCTGAAAATAGCTATAAAGTTGATCGAGGCAGGGCAGTTAAGATAAATAGATAGAAAATAATTTTACAAATTTTAGGATCAGATATACAGAGACTTACTGAGCTTAAATCGAATTTCTGCCAGCTATTTTAACTTGATTATATTGGTATTTGTATTGGTATTTTGCAATAATAAGTGTGTAATACTAAAAAAATAACAATAGAGTAAATTACTTCCCTTGTTAAAATTTTCATGCCAGTTTGGGGGGCTGACCTGCCAACATTTTTGCAGATTGCATATTCATTACCTGGAACGTTTTTTGCAACTGTGGGGTTGAAATGATGCGGTAATGATGTTAGCAATGTGTTCTTGATTGCTATGATCCTACCATTGGGCCATGCATGCATGAAATAGCTTCGGTATATCGGAATCTTTTATTTGAGACATAATAACGTGTGCAAATTTAAGAACAATCGACGTTTGCTTTGACGATTGTGCAGCCGAAATCATCCCTTAAAGTGGAAGGGTAGTGAAAGAAATGATGGAGGCAACGAATCTAACCTGGAATTTTCCATTGTAGTCAAGAGTGACGTCAGCATTCTGCCAATTTGGACCTTGGTTTCCAGTCTTCGTAAACAAGTATATCCACGGTTTACCCTCTGGAACCATATACAATGTGAGTGTGCCTGTCTGATCTCCATACATGTTGTAATAGAAGCTCATACACTGCGGTGTCGAGAACTCTAGCATTCCACTCACAAGCCTTGCTTTGTCGTCTTTCTGGCGATTTGACGATTCCACGTAAACGTAACTGCCTGTACGAAGTAGACGTGTTTTATGAGTTCTAAGATCCCGTCAAGCATATAAATCTTGCTGCCCCCTTAAGCCCTATTTCCACTCGGGAAACATTTTCGCAGAAAGAAAATTTTGTAAATTGGAATAGACAATTCCCCATTATAAATTAATTTTTAAATTAGGCAAGGAAACTCAAATAAATCACCACAACTAGAAAGAGCATACTAAAATTAGTAAAATTACAAAGTTTGGTTGCGAAATGTTGTAAAATGAGGAAAATATAGCCTTGCAAAGTTCGCAAATTTTGTATACTTTTGTATTGCTTGCGGAAATCCCTACCACATTCCTACCACATTTAGGCCGAAAATGGTCGCACGCAATACAAAAGTATACAAAATTTGCGAACTTTGCAAGGCTATATTTTCCACATTTTACAACATTTCGCAACCAAATTTTGTAATTTTACTAATTTTAGTATTCTCTTTTTCTAGCTGTGGTGATTTATTTGCATTTCCTTGCCTAGTTTTAAAATTAGTCTATAATGGGAATTGTCTATTGGCCGACACAAATTTTCCGTCGGAAAAAAATTTTGAAGTTGAAAATTTTCAATTTTTAACAATGATATTATTTTCGGAAAAGTTTCTGTCCGTGGAAATATTTCTTGAGTGGAAATGGGCCTTTACACAGACGTAGTCACAAAAGGGGGGGGGGGGGGGGGTCCGCTTAACAATTTTCCTTGACATGTTTACTTTCTCGTGTGTACGGTTAACAAGTTTTTTTGACAACTTTCCCTTGATAAGCTTTGTTGCACGAAATTGTTGTTATACATTTATCTCAAGGCTTGTCAAAGAAAAATTGGCAATATTTTGCCGTACACAACAGCAAACAAAACTTGTCAACGAAGAAGTATCTATCTTTCAAAAGTATCTTTCAAAAGTATTTGAAGGTTTATGATAGATTATGAATTTTGGTTACATTTTACCTTTTCCTTTTAGAGTGTGGTCGCCTCTCGGTCCTGTGTTCATAGTCTTGGTAAAGCCACTGATTAGCGCCCAGGGGATTAATCCTGCATTACTTGCACTCGACCACATGCCCCAGCCAGTTTCAAAGTCCGCGTCGTATTTTCCTGCAAAGTAGCCAACGTAAGTACAAATAATGCATAATCAATTTGACTTTGATTATTGCGCCGTTACATATTTGAATGTATACACAGCAACGCATTGTATTGAAAAGCTGTGAGAAAAGTGCTGCCAGTTTGACTCCGAACAAATTTCCCTTAATTTAGGTCTGCTCTTGTATAGTAACACTGGATCAATAAGACATGGTCCTTACTAGATCTCTAGGAAGAACAGTTTAGAACTGATAGAGCTATTCAGTATAAATAAAGTTAGTTTAGTTTAGGTTTTCTCCTGCAGTAACACTGGATCAATAAGACGTGGTCGTTACTAGACCTCTAGGAAGAGCAGTTTAGAACTGATAGAGCTATACAATATAAATAAAGGTGGTATAGTTTAGGTTTCCTCCTGTAGTAACACTGGATCTATAAGAGATGATCCTTGCTAGACCTTAGAAAGAACAGTTTAGAACTGATAGAGCTATCTAGCATGTAAATAAAGTTACTAGTTTAACTCAGGTTTCCTTCTGTAATAACATTGGATCAACAAAGGATGGCTCTTTCTTGACCTCACTTATACCGATTCGTTAATATCAACCATGTAACTACTGACAGTGCTGACAGACAGAATCGATGTTGAAATGCCGAATATAGGGACAATAGGGTGATCGACAAGAAAGGGAACATTTTTTAAGTACTCGAACAAGAGCAAAAAAATGATCACAAGTAGATTAGCTAGACACATTAATTGATAAGATATCATCATCTTACCGCCTTTACATCTTCTATTAAGGCAAGTGGAATCATCGATACTTTCTCCAATGCAAGCCTTGCCTCCATTACTTGGCTTGGGATTATCGCACTGTCTGGTTCGTGTGTGTTTCCCTTCGTCACAAGTCTTTGAACAAGCTCCCCATGATGACCACATACCCCAATTACCATCAACTGGAGCTAAGAAAGTAAGTGAAAACAGCTCATTACATGTTATGTAAATCTACGTAGAACTCGAGAAACTAAACTAATTTTATTTGTAAGGCGTACTCTGGAGTGGTAACTCGCCTAAACCCGTCACGAGATAGATAAAGATTTGGTCATGGGAATAATAAAATACTCTTCTTAACTAAGTTATTCTTCCCTTTTATGCTTATATTTTAGACAGAAGTGACCTTCACTGGGGGGGGGGGCAACATAGTTCACTGGGGGGGCAAGCCCCCCAAAACAGGGACTGGGGGGACAAGCCCCCCTCACCTTAAAAAGAGGCCCTGGTTACCTGGTATAAAAGAGACCCTGGTTACCATCCCAAAAGTACGCCTTTTGTTCGACATATATATATAGCTGTAATATTAGCGAGGTTCAGATTTGACTTCCACTACTGCTACCTCTCACGGGCTTAGTACGGATCTGATTCGTTAATCGGATATATCAAACGCATTTGATTGGTTAATCGGATAGGTCAAATGCATCAGATTGGTTTGTTGTTCCTTAAAGGTAGCGGTAATGGAATTCAAATCTGAACCTCTATCGTATATTACCTGGGCATGGAGAGCATTTAACATATTCCGTTTCAATGCCATAGTCATTGGTTTTTGGACAATCCGCTTTGTTTCTACTAAAGCAAAACCTTTGTCGCTCTTTATAACAATATTTATTATTACATTCCGACCACATGGACCAACTGGACATTTTTTGATCTGGGAGAAAAATAGACATTTAAAATTCACGACCAAATGAGTGACGCATCTAAGACGCAATTAACGACAAAACTGTGCTTCTGACTACAACTAACCAAGTAGTTAACCAACCAACCATCCAACTAACCAGCTAACTAACTAACCTACCAATCAGCTAACTAACCATCCCAACCAACCAGCTAACTAACTTACCAACCAGCTAGCTAACCAACCGGCTAACTAATCAACCAGCTAACTAACCAACCAGCTAACTAATCAACCAGCTAACTAACCAACCAGCTAATTAACCAACCAGCTAACTAACCAACCAGCTAACTAACCAACCAGCTAACTAATCAACCAGCTAACTAATCAAACAGCTAACTAATCAACCAGATTACTAATCAACCAGCTAACTAATCAACCAGCTAATTAACCAACCAGCTAATTAACCAACCAGCTAACTAACCAACCAGCTAACTAACCAACCAGCTAACTAATCAACCAACTAACTAATCAACCAACTAACTAATCAACCAGATAACTAATCAACCAGCTAACTAATCAACCAGCTAACTAATCAACCAACCAGCTAACTAATCAACCAGCTAACTAACCAACCAACCAACCAGCTAACTAATCAACCAGCTAACTAATGAACCAGCTAACCAACCAACTGGTCTGCCGAACCAACAGCAATAGAAGAACACTTACTTATGGACGATGTTTTACAATCATACAAAGCATTAATCTCTATGATATCAAGGGCTGTATATGTAGTGGCATCACCAATGGATTGCTTCGGATCCAAAGCAACAATAGTGGTCTTGCCTTTTATACCAAACGCAGTGGAACTGTAATGCATAAGGCTTTTAATGTCGTAATCTTTCTTCATCTTGTCAATGACGCCGTGAGTATATTTCTCGAATTGATCACGAAGTTCTAAGAATGAAACACAAATTTTTCATGATGATTAATGGAGTCCGTAATTTCTATTCTTGAATGTCAGGTGCCATTACGGGTAGCGGAGAATACAATTTGCGGGGAGTGGCGGTGTGTTAAGCATACCTACTTGCAGCTGAGAGCGAAGCTCATAGTCAATCAAGATATGATGGTCTGAAAACTAAACAGAAGTCATTGTGTTATATTTTTGTCGGAGTTTATGTTAATTTGTGCAGGGTCACGGTGATTGAACTCATTGTATTTTCGTATAATGAAGTAATCGTCCAAAAGAGATAGCTGAGATGAAACGTGCAGCCACGATGAATAATATTCAATGAAGTTGAAACAAAGGATTTGCGCACGGCGAGGTATAGTTCAACATCAAACAAAGGTCTTCTATTTTGTAGCTTTGAAGTTTGCCTGGCTTCCAGACCATCTTATCTTGACAGACTATGCCAAGCTGAATTTCGAAGGATACAGCTCAACCTGTTCGAGTCGAAGGCTTTCTAAGGGCGCCTCTGATCACAGAGCACAGTTACGGTGGAAGAGTCAGTTCAGGGCTCATCCCAACCCACCCTGTCGGGTGAATTCTCACTACTTTGAATTTGGTAGAAGGTTGACTGACCCTTCAGATCAGCGTCGTGTGTCCGCACTAACGCGAATCGACCCAGGATTGCTGTGACCGAAGTTACCGAATTACATGTACCTGAAAACTCAAGAGAAACTTGGACGTTTCGAGCGAATGTCCTTTGTCTGGAGGTTAGTAGCTGGCTAGCCGCTTCTTTAAACGCTTTTGAAAAATTTTAAATCACTTACCAGATGGGATGTTTTCCCAAAGGATTTTGATGTACCTGTTTCTGTCATCTCTGCTTTGCTCATGAAAAAATCCTGGGAAATTAAGTTTGAAAACGGTTTGAAACCCTTATACTAAAAATTCTATAATATAGTATATAAAAACACTGCAAAAATTTCTTTGAGTAAAATAATGCATCCACAGTGACTGAAAATATTGAGCAAAATTACTCATTTTTTTAGAAAGGAAATTTTTACTAACAAGATTGAGTAAATTTGAAACCTTACTAAAAAAAATGAGCACATTCGCTCATAAATTTGAGTAATTTTATAAAAATGTTGAGTCACTGTGAATGCGTATTTTACCAAAGTTTTTCGCAGTGAAGTAGCAAAAAAATGGTAATACTATATAGCTCGTTCAAACTATAAATGTAATATGGACTAATACTTACTGTCGATGCAATGGAAGTGTTGATAAAATATTGCACCAATTCCTTTCCTCAAGTTGATCAATTCATTTGATAGAAAATTGACCAACTTCCTGTTACTTTTAGATGAGCCAGTTAGATTTCGTTTCAGAACCGATTGACCAATAGGAAACGCACAGGAAGTAAAAAGAAATTTGAATTCGTATGAATTGATCAACTTGAGGAAATGAATTCATGCAATATTTTATCAACACTTCCAATCTTCCATTGCATCGACAGTAATTGTAGAAGACTTTGAAACACTTTGATCATAGAGATTATACGTAATTAACGCGCATTTATATGCTTACCCATACAATGTGTCAGTTCATGTAAAGCTATGTCGACCCATTCACAGCCTTCACCAATTGACAATGTTTGAGCTCCCTCTTGAGCGTATGCTCGCCCTATCGCGGAATAACATCTGGAAAAAAAAGTAACTTCACTGATAAATCTTTGTATGTGCTGGTCACCTCGAGAAAAATAGTGAGGTTTATTTTTACCGCTGCCATTAAGGGACCACTAACCAATCAGATGCGTTTAATCTACCCCATTAACCAATCAGATGCGTTTAATCTACCCCATTAGCCAATCACATGCGTACTTAGTCAGTAAAAAGTAGTGGTAGAGGAAATTATCCTTTCTCACGGCCGATTTTTCGAACAGCAAATAACAACGACAGACAATAACAACAATGGCAACGACTACGACAACGACACCGACAACAACAACAACAACAACAACCACAACAACAACAACCACAACAACCACAACAACAACAGCCACAACAACAGCCACAACAACAGCCACAACAACAGCCACAACAACAGCAACAACAACAGCCACAACAACAGCCACAACAACAGGCACAACAACAGCCACAACAACAGCAGCAACAGCCACAACAACGGCCACAACAGCCACAACAACGGCCACAACAGCAGCAACAACAACAACAGAAACCACAACAACAACAACAACGTCGAACCAAGGACGGTAACAAAATTTAATATTGTCAACGATTATAACAGGAGAAAGCATTTTATAGGCAACTTTGAAAAACTTTAGTACACCAGCAAATCATTTCTTCATTGAACTCACTTCCACCTAATTTTAAGCATCTAATACGACATTTCCTTACCCATCCCCTTTCTTGAAATGTACATAGTGTTTCTGTGCTGTAGAGGTGCGAGGTACCCATCTAACACACGTCTTTTCGTGTATTATTGCCATTGCTTTTTTGATTACATCTCTTGCCTTCAGTGCTGTAAATTCGAAGATTATGAATGAGTTGGGTGTGGCTGATATATAGTAGTTATTGCATGTGTGTATCGCCAACAGTTTCACCTTAGGCCTATATACACACGTAAAAACGCACAAGTTGTAACAAACCTGCAGCAGACTTGTAGCAATGCTGTTCTAACAACTTGTCAACAGGATGTGTTCGCACTGCTTGTTCCCAGCTTGTTGACAAATGGCTGCAAGGTTGTTGAGCTGAACAGACTTGTTACAAGTTGTTCCAACAACTAATTATCGCCCTGCAACTTAACAATTTTTCAACAAGTTGTGATTGACAACCTTGTATAGCAACTTGATAAAATAACAGCATTGTTACAAGTTGTTGACAAACTTGTTACAAGCCTGTTGTGAACACATCTTGTTGACAAGTTGCGAGTGACAACCTTGTAGCAACTTGATAAAATAAGAGAATTGTTATAACTTGTTGACAAGCTAAGCTTGCTACATGCAAGCTTGTTGCGAACACATCTTGTTGACAAGTTGTGAGATTTTAACGTGCAGTGTGTACCCGAAAAAGTATACCGATATTATTGGTATAAACAGGTTTTTTTTGCTTTCTTGATTAGTAATTAATTCGTTTTTAATTCCAGAGCGAGCATACCACATGGATCTCCACGAAGAAGAGTCGTAACTGATACAGCTACTAATGGTAAAGTTGTTAAACGTGATTTCTATACTTACAAAGTCCAGGGTCCAGATAGTACGGGATTTGTCGCGTTGTCCAGAGCTGTTTGCGTCTGTATACAGCATTCCGTTTTCGACGATACGACTCAACTTTTTCAATATCTAATAACTGCTTGGGGTCTATCGCTATATCTCCTTCAAATAACAGGTTATCATTTCCTACAGGAAAAGATCAATTACCTTATAAGCATATAAGACATTTAAACGGTCGCCACCAATTTTTACAGCGGTGTTTCCAAAATGTGAAAAATAGGCCAAAACGCGCAAAAATACTGGGCGTAGTCTGAAAACACGTAGTCTGAAAAGAACTTGAAAAATAAAGGTAACCGTTTAAATGTCTTACATACAGTTTTTGTAAGCTTTCTAATGCTGCAAGTTAATTTTTCTATAAATGATTTAACGATATAGCGGTTAACCCATTGAGTGGCAGCACTCTCCCCCTGACGAGTAATATCGTAATAATAAAGTAGGGTGCATCTGGGCGCATTGCCACTTAAAGGGTTAACTTAACAGGGTATACATGGGCAGATAGTCTGATTAACCCATTGAGCGGCAGCACTCTCTCCCTGACGAGTAAAATCGTCTGGTGTTAGACAGAGTAAAATAATAAAGTAGGGGGGAATAATGAAGTAGGGGTTAATAGGAAAATCGAAGAAAAACTTGTTGGCGTGCAGGAGCCCACAAGACATTTGAACGCCGCTAACAAAATTAATCCTCTATCTGCCTGACTATTATGTTTCTGAAAGTGCAGTATATACAAATACTATATAGACCGCGCTTACTCATGTTTACGTTGTTGATAACATCGTCTGCATTGACATTTCTCTTTTCCAATTGATCTTTTTTCTTCCATCTCTTGTGTATGTCATTTATCGTGAGAATTCTGTCGAACGCTGATCTTCTCTTGTTCTTATGTAGATCTGAAAGAATTCGCATGGTGACTTCAGTGTTTTGAAAAATTTATGCCATCTTTAGGACGTTTTAATGGTGAGTTAAAATTTGAGAGTTTTGTTTTTGCTTGTTTTTGTTTTTGTTGTTTTTGCTTGTGTAAACTATACCTGCAATGTTTTCACGAATTTCTCGCTTGAATTCTTCGCTATCTTGGTAAGTAAGATCTAAGGGAATAAATTAGTGTCGTATTAAAAGAAGAATCTTTTGTATGTTGCATACATACACGCGTTCAAAACTATATTTCTATTTGGTTATGAGTATATTCAAAATGAGCTGCACCTTTGAATTTACTATATGAGTAAATTCTTAAACATGTCCGAATTTATCATTATGATAAATTCGCGGCACATTTTGAATTTATCAACAGAATTAATCATAAAACCACAAGCATTACACAAGATTTTCATTTATAAATGTAATGGCACTAAAAGGGACGCCGGTCGCGCAGGGGTGGGGTGTTTCTCAGGTTCTTCGAAAAAATAGTTTTTAAAAAAGTTTTAAAAGGGTTTTGAAAAGCAAGAAAAGTTTAAAAAGTTTGATTTTTTAAAAAGTTAAAAAAATTTAAAAAGTTAAAAAAAATAGGATTAGGGGTTAGTTGTTAGGGATTAGGGGTTAGTGGTTGGGGTTAGTGGTTGGGGTTAGTGGTTAGGGTTAGTGTTAGGTGCCGCGAATTTATTATTATGATAAATTCAAAATTTGCCGCGAATTTATCATAATGATAAATTCGGACGTGTTTAAGAATTTACTCATATAGTAAATTCAAAGGTGGAGC